CTAATAGCTAGCCGCGATAGGATAGCTAGTTATAGAGAAAATCTGGAAAGGTTATACTAATAACCCGGTTATAGCTAAATAGTGATACTAACTAAGTGAAGGGTTCTCTTTCTCCTTAGAAGGAACTCTCTTATTTTAGGGATGAATCTATATACTTACTAAGGATAGGATGAAATTTATCACGTACTAGTATAAGCTGCTTACTTATAGATACTAGGGGGTAGCTAAGATACTATCTAAGCTATCTAGGGAATACTACTTCCTAGGTATAAGGAAGGTAGTTAAAGATGTAGTAATATCGTGCGATATATATATCCGGAATAAGGTTATATACTATACTCTATATAAGCTTATAAAGTTACTAATAATACTACCTTGCCTATAGAAATTAATCGCTTTGGATTTCGTGGTTAAGCTACTACTCTTAAAAGATCTAATTATAGGAATTATATATGATTCGATCTATATAATAACGGATAGGTTCACGAAGTATATATATATAGTACTAGTACTTAGGATATAGGACGCGCTTATAATAGCGTAGGTATTTCTTAGGATAATCTTTATAAGCTATAGAATACTAGATAAGATTATCTCAGATAGAGATAAGCTCTTTACTTTAAAGTTCTAGAAAACTCTTATCACGCTCTTAGGAATAAAGTAGAAAATATTAATTATATTCTATCCTTAGACTAATATATAAATAAAACGAATTAACTAGATAATAGAGACTTATCTTTAGTGTTATATGAACTATAAGTAGGACGACTAGGTGTAACTACTCCTACTTGGCTAGTTTATATATAATAGCGCGGATTAAGAGACTATTAGAGTATTACTATTCTACGCGAATTATAGGTATAATCTTATAGTATATAACCTACTAATAGCTGGTTAGGGTACCGTGTAAGAAGCTATACTATAGGCAGGTGAGCTTAAATAGCTTTATAAAGAATTATTAGCTAATATTCTCTTTATCGCGTAAAGATCTATGATCTACTATAATAGAAAGCGTAGTATAGGACTAACGCTTAAGGAGGGGGATAAAGTCTACTTACTTAGAAAGAATATCGTAACTAAACGACTAAGTTATAAATTAGATTATAAAAAGCTAGGACTATTCAGGATTACTAAAGTCAAGGGACTAGTTAATTATTAACTAGCTCTACTAAAGATAATAAATATTTACCTAGTATTCTATATATCTCTCCTTAAACTAGTACCGCTAGGAGTATTACTAGCTCTTATTACTGAAATATAACTGATTAATCCGAACGCTGAATACGAAATAGAGGCTATCCTCGACTATTAGAACTACTATAGTAAAACACGATATCTAATTAAATAGAAAGGGTATTTATAATTAGAAAACACTTAGGAACTTAAATCTAACCTCTACTACCTTAAGCTTCTATAGGGATTCTATTAAAGAAATCCAGGTTTACTTAGAAGGAAGGGGACTTAAGGTTAGGGGCCGGGCCCTTAAAGAAGGACACTAGGTAGGCGTTAGGTTCGAAGGCAGGGAACTAAGAAGTAGGATTATCCTTAATAGGCTTAGAGAGAGGTATTAGAGGGCGAGTAGGGGTTATAGTTTTTCTTATCTTAAACTAATATATAGGTCGTTTAGGAGTGAACCTCTTAATATACCCTAAGGTATTATAATCGTAATACTTTAAGCGAATATACTTAGAGTATTGTTTCGAAATAGATAAATCTAAGAAGTAGGTATAGGAAAAGCTATAGTAGAAGGAATAAGGCTTTATAAGTTATATAGTACGCTTAATACAGAGCGCGAGCTAGATACTCTGTTTTTTCTTTATCTAAGTAATACTCGATTTCTTTATAATATTAGATATAATAAATAAGGAAGATAGTTATTAGTAACTATCGACGTTTCTTAAGGTTATACTTAAGCGTAGGGACTACGCTAAGCTAAGAGGGGGATAGTATTACGGACCCTTTAGCGCTATAGTTCAGTTAGCACCTATATAATAATAAAACTATTAGTAGTACTATAGGGGTATTAGTACTAACGAGGGAGTAGTACTATCGATAGAGTAGTACTAGCTAGGGAATAATATAGGATAATCGAGTAGTACTACTATACACTTACGCTTTAGTAGTAATAGTTACTTAGATTATAGTAGATAATAAGTCACGTAATAGATCCTTGGATCCCTGGATCTCCTTATAGGAAAACGGATCTAAGGATCTAAGGATCTAGTATCCTAAGGGATCTAAGGCGAACAAAGGTTCTATATAAGACTAGTACATCTACTATTAGATAGGAGCTTTATACTTAACTTTAAATAGTATTCTAATACTTAGTAACTATCTTCCTATCTACGTGATATACTTACCTCTTAATTATTAGAGATCAACTGCAGCCTTCTGTATTTATAGCGAGTAAATACCGGACTATTACAATAAGACTAGTATATTTACTATTAGATAAGAGCTTCGTGCTTAACTTTAAATAGTATTCTAATACTTAGTAATTATCTTTTATCTATATAATATACCTACCTCTCGATTATTAGAGATTAACTATAGCTTTCTATATTTACAGCGAGTAAATACCGGACTGTTACATATAAGAGATAATACCTCTAATAATACTACTTTATTAAAATATATTAATAATTAAAACTCTAGTATATATGATATTAAGTGTATAGCTTATATTATTAACTTAATAGTACAAGATATATTAAAGAATTATATTTTTAATTATAAAGCTGAAATAGATCTTTCGGATTTTACTAATAATATTACTAATAATATAAATTCCGACTTAGGTATAATTTAAAAGCTAAGAAAGATTATAACTACTATTAAATATACTTACGAATATTAAGAGCTTTTTAAAGAAGGCTATAATAAATATAAATTATCTAATGATATTCCTAATAATTTTAATATAAAAAAAAATCCCTTTAGATAATACTACTAGGTGGAATTCAACTTATAATATACTTAATATTTCTATTACTCTTAAAAAAGTTATTAATTATATATTTAATAATACTTCTAATAAAGAGTTTAAAACTTATATATTAAGTGATAACGATTGGCTTGTTTTAAGTACGCTAAGAGATATATTTTATATTTTTGTTTATCCTAGTATTAAACTATAAGGATAAGTTTATATTACTATTAATTATAGTTTACTTTATATATATATAATTTTTAATAAACTAGAAACTAAAAAAAATGAGCTAAGAATAAATATTAACTTATTAAGTAGTAGTATAGATATTAATAACTTTATTACTGCTATTGATATAGGGCTAAAAAAGTTAGAAAAATATTTTCTAGCTAAATTAAGCTCTAGCTCTTTAATAACGTATAAGCCTTATATATTAGGCCTTATTTTAGATCCTAGATTTAAGTTAAATTACTTTAAGTCTAGAGGCTTATTATATTTTTATCTAAATATAGAGAATGATATTATTAACTTATTTAAAGAAGAGTATTTATTAGTTAAATTATCTTAAGAATATAATAATAATAGTAATAATAATAATAACTCTAATATTAATACTGAGAATATAGAAGATATAGAGGATAGTGATAATGACTTATTTTTAGCTTCTAATATTAATGAAGAAGAAGAAGAGGAATATATATCTTATTTAAAAGATAAAATATCTAATCCTAAAATTAAGCCTTTAGACTTTTAGGAAATAAATAAAAATAATTATCCTATTTTATATATTTTAGTTAAAAGGTATTTAATAATACTAGCTACTTTAGCTTCTATTAAAAGAACCTTTAGTATAAGTAGTAATATTATTACTAAAAGTAGAAATAATTTAGATCCTAAAGAATTAAAAAAGATTATCTTATTAAAAAGTTGGAAATTAAAGGATATATTAGAGTTAAATAATTCTTTATAAGAAGAAGAGATAGAATAATAATAACTTATTTTTTTTATATATATTATAATATAATTTCTTTATTAAAAAACTTCTTAATTTGCCTTTTTATAACGTTATTATAAAAGATAATAGTATAACTTCTTATAAGCCTTGAGTTTTTATTATTCAAATTCTTTAGATCTTTAATTTTCTATTTTTAGAATTAATTTTTTAATTAATTTTAATTAATTATTAGTTTTCATTAATTTAATTAATTAATCACAGTAGATAGCTTAATTAATTAATTTTAGTATAAGAATTCATTAATTAATTTTAATTAAGGGTGAAATTAAATTAATTAATTAAAATCACAACCCTGAGTACTGTAAATGAACAAAATCTCCAGATTTCAACAGTGAGGGCTCTAAATGTGGCTTATTTTAAAGGCTTCTATTGGAAGACTATTACTCAGTCAACCAATTAGATCTGATTTAGAGTTTACTAAGGCGAAAGTAGCTAAAATCATCAAATCATATCTCTTAGATTAGAGACTAAGTTATAAAGCCTCTAAGCAACAGAATAGCAACAGGCGTCCAACGGGCGTCAAACCCTCGAGGGTTCGGAAATCTGTGGCCACCCTCTTTACTACTTACCCTACCCGAGCCTACCCTTTGCATCCCACACTCGCTCGAGTTATGCAAGCCAGAAGAAAAGCGATACAAACTGAAGTCCCAAGATGAAAAAGAGAGCTTGTGGTCCGCGACCAGGTTCCAATGTTTGAAGAATTTGGCGAGCTGAAGCGAGAAGGCAAAGAGGGGGAGCAGAGATGTACTAAGTTACTGCTGATCGTGACGTCTTTGATGTCTATCGAGGCGAGGGTCTAGAAATTGTCGTGATACTTATATGTTCTATCGCGTAAAAGTGCTGGAGCAAAAGCACGCCATCCAGCTGGGGGTCTCTGGAGATAGCACCATCGACCACGCTTTCCCGCAGCGGGTCAACTTGTCATGACTACCTACTACCACAAGTACATATCTAGCTTCAACGATTGGTAGGTAATTTTCCTCAATAAGGCGGCCAACCGAATGGCTGGAGAAGATTGAGAGTGTCGAGAGTGTCTTCCCCATCCCCTCGTGGCCTTGCCCCCCCCTCCCCCTCAACTCTCTCCCATTACCAAGGTAGGTTAGGGTGTTCTACCAACCTACCCCACCAAGCACCCCACCTCCGGTGACATTTTTTACCTTTGTATGTATTCCAAGGTTTACATCCTCATCTTCCATTTGCAATCTGAACACGCCAGCGCACATCTCGAGTAGCAATCGCAAGCTTCCACATCATCATCATGTTGTAGTTACAGTCCCAGTCGCATGCCTATTCATCTTCGATATCAAACCATTGAGTAACGACACAACTGCTCTGTGAATACCTCACCGCATATCGACACCCCACCAAGCATCCTCTCCCAATCGTCCCTAATACTACACTTCAAATTTATCCAGAATGCCGCCCACCCTGCCGCCCCTCTCAACTATCCTCCCCCCTCTAATCTGCGGCACCGCAACCTTCAACAACCTCTACAATGCCGACGCTGCCCTTGTACCCACGAACGCCATCATAGAGCGCGCACTCGACCTCGGCGTCCGCGCCTTCGACACCTCCCCCTACTACGGACCCTCCGAAGAGCTCCTGGGCAAAGCTCTCTCGACGCCATCCGTCCTGCGAAATCACCCTCGCTCCAGCTACCGCATTGTTACGAAAGTCGGGCGAATCGCCAACGCGGAGTTTGATTATAGTCCTGAGTGGGTGCGGTATTCGATTCAACGGTCGTTGCAGAGGCTGCATACTTCCTACCTCGATGTAGTTTACTGTCATGATGTTGAATTTGTGACGCCGGCTGAGGTGCTTGTCGCTGTCAAGGAGTTGCGCCGGACACGCGATGAGGAGGGAACTATAAAGTACATTGGGATCTCGGGCTACCCGGTTCCCTTGCTCTGCGAGCTTGCGGAACTGGTACTAAGAGAGACGGGCGAGCCGCTGGATGCAGTTATGAGCTATGCAAATTTCACGCTGCAGAACACGACTTTGATGTCTCTGGGCCTTGGAAGGCTGAAGAGGGCTGGCGTAAGCTGCGTGCCCAATGCAAGTATCCTGGGTATGGGGCTCCTGCGCAGCGTGGGTGTTCCCGTGGGAGGCAAGGGCGATTTCCATCCAGCACCAAGGAAGCTGAGGGAGAAGTGCATGGAGGCTGCAAGGTACGTGGAGGAGACAGGTGAGAGGCTGGAGGTTGTCAGTATTCGCTGGGGATTGGATACGTGGTCTCGCGACGCAGCAAGCTTAGGAGGTGTAGGTGGAATAGGAGTCTCAGTCATGGGGGTCAGCAATCTTGAGGAATTGGAAGAGACGATGCGAGTTTGGAACAGTGTTCTGGATGGCCTCCCACTCGCTGGTAGAGAAGCCACAACAGAGAAGAAAGAATGGAGTCTTGCGAGAGCGGCAGAAGTTGCTGAAAAAGCGAAAGCTGTATGGACTATTTTGGGTGAGTGGAAGGATTATACATGGCCCTCTCCTGATGAGGGATATGTCAATGTCAGGGTTGTCAAGGGCGTCGTGGATGAGATTGCGCCTCTGCCACCAGTAAAGGATGGTTCTGCGAAGGATAGTAGGTTGTGAGCATAGCGTGGGGTTGCCGGCTGGTTAGCTGGCTGTTTGGGTTTTGCATAGATAGGCGTCTGGGAGTGAACTGCGTGACTTTCCAAATTAGTATCTTGCAACATTTGACTCTTATATTGTGGTGAGACGCTCTTTCGCTTAGTTGTTGACATTCAAAGTGATTTGAATAGTACATGGGCATGATTGGCTCTGCGAGATGTGTGAAATACTTCAGCTAGGGCCCGTGTCGTTTGTGCACCTTGGACTAGGCCTTGCGAATATTAGAGAATGGTAGCTGATGTATCTGAGCCATAAGTTGCGATATGCTTGACAATACTCAGCTTATTCACTGCTACAATCCTACACTGATTGGGTGCTACACAACTTTCTCCAGGATTGCTATGCTAACATCACGCCGAGGCGCGATCTCTCACTGCTTAGCGTAACTCTGTCTCTCATTTGTATTTTTCTACACTATGCAGTACCTTGTTCTTGATTCGTGTCCTGGATATGCCTTTCAATCCAATGCCCATCCATGGAATTTTGAAAATGAAGCTGATGTTGAAAGAAAGTGACAGCTTAGTGTCCAACCATGTGTCTTATGATTGAAATCTATGACTTCAGATCAAACTTTTGTTTATGAAGAAGCAGAAAACAGGGACGGAGATCCAAACGCCATGCAAAATCAAGGGACATTCATCAAATCATAACATGGAAGCCTCTCATTAGGCGTGACCATTGGAGGAAGAGAGCTTGCGTCGGTCTCGGACAGCTGCTGCAAGGCATTCGAGAACTTGGACAGTCGAATCCCAGTTGATACATGCATCTGTGATGCTGACACCCTTCTTTAGGCCGGATGGTCCTTCTGCTGGTACCTTCTGATTGCCCTCATTGATATTTGATTCGATCATGACACCAATGATGGAAGTCTCCCCGGCACGAAGTTGCTCTGCAATGACGTCCGCGACCTTTGGTTGGTTGCGATGGTCCTTGTTGGAGTTGCCTGCATACATTAGCTACAAGTCCAAGAATCCTATTTTTGAGAATGGGACTCACCATGCGAACAGTCAATCATGATAGCTTGCTTTTGACCCGTCTTTTGCAGCGTCTCCTTCGTGAGCTTAACGCTTTCTGCATCATAGTTTGTGCCCTTGGTACCTCCACGAAGGATAATGAATCCGTGCTCGTTGCCACTTGTTCTTGTAATTGCAGCCAGACCTTGCTTAGTGACACCCATGAAATGATGCTTGGCAGCAGCAGACCCAATAGCATCAATTGCAACCGTCAAGCTTCCATCGGTACCGTTCTTGAATCCAACGGGAAAGGAAAGACCGGAAGCAAGCTCACGATGCAATTGTGACTCGGTGGTTCTCGCTCCGATTGCCCCAAGCGAGATGAGATCTGCGAGGAACTGAGGAGAGATGGTGTCCAGCATTTCAGTAGCAATTGGCATGCCGCTGTTTGTGAGGTCGCAGAAGAGCTGACGACTGATCCGCAGACCTTTGTTGATCTTGAAAGACTCGTCAAGGTCTGGGTCATTGATCAATCCCTTCCATCCGACAGTTGTTCGGGGTTTCTCGAGGTATGCGCGCATTATGATACAGAGGTCACTGGAGAGCTTGTCTGAGAGCGCCTTTAGTCGTGAAGCATATTCGACGGCAGTGGCAGGGTCGTGAAGACTGCAAGGTCCGCAGATAACGAGAAGGCGGTCGTCTTCGCCCATTATGATCTTGACAGCCTCTCTGCGGCCTTGAAGAACAGTTTCTAGAGAGTCTTTTGAGATAGGGACTTCCGACAGGAGCAGATTTGGAGCGATGAGAGGATCCTGCCCCAGGACTAAGAGAAGTGTTAGCAATTTCTCTCAGAGCAGTGAATCATCGCAGGCCTTACTTCTGGTATCATCTGTAACCATGGCGGCGCTGGGCATTTTGAATGGAGAAGATTGACGGTTGGGGTGAGGTTTAGATATGAGGAAAATACAAGAGGATATGGAGTATGTTGTCCTTTACCGTGTGTTGCGTTGTACAGATTTTAAGAGAATTGGCGGGGTCAAATGGAAATTCACACAAGATTTCCAGGTACCCTGTACTTGCTAAGGTGCCAAGGACAACCTTAATTCACGTGATAGCATGTATAGATGTCTGAGGCAAGCACGCCGTCAGGCAGCATTCAGGCCAGGCATATGTCGATGTTCGGTTCACGGGCGCGTGAAGGTCGAGGCCAACGCCAAACTCTGGATACCCCAGTTTCCGAAGTGTGCAGATGTCTCAGACCGACGACCGTGCTTTCACGAGTTTTGAAGCACCGATGAAACCCACCGCTCTATTCTTCCTCAGCTAGGACTGTGACAAACCGCCGAAGATATAATTCCAGGTTCTTCCGGGCTCGTCCCTTGAAATACGTTCGCATCTCAATACACAACAACACCCCTCCTAGACACAACGTCAAGGGGCCTTGCCACCATACCCTCTCCTTAACACGAATTCAGACGAACTCTTTCGGTCACAATTCAGAACTGTGCCATCTCTTACTAGAGAAATCAATCATGTTCTCCCAATCATGGACTTCCCGGAAGCGTAACAGGGAAGACGATGAGGAGACAGTGATGTCTGGCTTCAGCGAGCATCGATCGGTGAGGGTCTCTCGCGACGCGATAATCTTTGATGTCAACAATGCTAACATTGATCAGAAACGACGTATAGCTACCCTTCCTCACCGTCAGTCCCCAAAGATTGCTCGCCACACCTCCCCGACCTTCTCCTGGGGAAGCAACTATACTTCCCAGCCTGCCCCTCCTACCATAACTCCGGCTGACTCGGACTCGGAGGAAGCTGCTGGTTCTGCAGAGCCAAGGTCGTTCTTCTCGCCATACTCTTCTTCCCCAACTACTGCTGGTCTTACGCAGAGTGGTCCACCTTCCCCTTTCTTGGATGGTTTTGAAAGTCAACCAAATGTCGAGTCCACTCAGATGTCCGATGCACCATCTTACACCGAAGACTTCGAAATGACAGACTCGATCCATCTCTCCCCAGGCCCCTTTCAAAGCGACCAGTCTCCTAGCATCTCAGGTCGAATTCCAACTCCGATACATAGCTCATTTGCTCCATTCATACGGGCGGAGAAGGCTTCGGTTCACCGCGAGGGTGACTTCGCAGATGATGAGGCTTTGGTTGATAGGTTTCGTCGTGGCCGAAGACTGCCTAGCCCTATCAGTGAAGGCGAGACAAGTCCAAGTGTTATTGTTGCAGGTTTTGGAGATATGCAGATGGAGGTGGAGTCATCATCGCAGCATGACCCGGACAAAGAGACTCCCACAAAGAAGGGACACACTCGGTCAAAACACAGTCTCAGAAATTGGACTGGATTCGGCTCGGAGCTCAACGGAGGAATGAAGAGAAGCTTCAGCATGGGCTATCGAGCCGATTGTGAGAAGTGTCGGTTGAAGGTTCCTGGCCACTTCAGTCACATCATCACTTACTAAATGCAGACGCTGCATGGACGTTTCTTACGATTAATTTGGGCATTTTAGCAAGGCGTTCGGGGCATGGCAATGCGATGATACAATTACTTTTGGCTTTCTTCATTCATAATGCCACGATATGTACCGAAATAGAGATAGGGCTTTAATCAGCTACATTGCAGTTACGATGAAGCTGGTAAATTCCGGTTCCCTATGTTTACAGAACCTGCACCAGAGCCTCTCATCATTTGTGGAGACCAGATCCTCACGTCTCCTGGCAACCTGTCTACTTTCCCAAACATTCTCCAAGCAGCATAGTGTCTAGTTTTGCATGCCGAATTAGCTGCTTTGAAGATCAGCAACAAAGAAGGAGTACTCGTTTCTTGCGCCATACAATAGCCTGCTCAGTATAATAGTCGGTCCCCCTTTAGTAGATATTGCATTGTGAGACGAGCTACATGTTCTTTCAACGAGTCAGCAAGCTCAAAGGATAAAAACAAAATCCTGGGGATCACCAAGATCTCCATCAACCCCACAGAAAAAAGCAATATTGTACTGCACGAAGTAGGCCTATCCTAGATCTCACATCACAATCCCCGTACCAGCTTTTTGTTCTGCCACCTTCCCAAAGGAAAAGAATCATTGCATCCGGTCTTGAGCCTGCTCAAACTATCATCCGCATGTCTCTCCCCACACAATAACAACATCCCGCCTAAACACTTACCCGAGCATAATAAAACATCTTAAAGTTCTGTTGCACATCTGATTTCCGCCCTTTTTCGCCCTCAGAGTTACGAAAGGGCGCAAAAGGGCGAAAAGGGCTGAAAGAGGGCGATCTTCCGCGCCATAGCTGGGCGAAGGCGCACGATGCTGGCATGACGACATGTCCACTGGGCGCACGGCGATCAGGAAGGCGGATGCTTCATATGGACGCCCTATTCATGCTACCGTACCATACTTATCGGTGTCTGGCCCGAGGCATGTGTCTCTTTTTGGGCAGGTGGATATTTTGATGCATGTCGCATTCTTCCCCGACCCAGGAAAGCTGTGTTGCTTTCGGGCGAGGAACCTGGTGCTCGGGAAGAGCATAGCTGGCTGCGAATTGGCCGTGTGAGAGGTTTGATAGTAGGCGAACTTTGGAGGCAGTCAAACATTTATGACCGGGAGAATATAGAAGGTTGTTCGTGGGGAGATTCATGGCGCTGCCTGGGTGCCTGGTTGTAGCTGAGAATAGGAGATAAAAATCATGTTTATGAAGCTGGCAATGAGGAGGTCGAAAATCCGTTGAGTCTTTGGATTCAAAACACTCCGGAATTGTCTCCCCTAGCCACTACAGGAGCATCGAATCAGGAGGTCGCTCAGCCCATCAGAAATCTTTGAACTTTTTTGATGCATATCGTCCGGAAGAGGGTTCACAGTTCCTGGGTAGCCAGTTTGCGCATCTCGTGGTTCCATACTCTGTTTTTGGACCGGGAGATTGGCGGAGCGTCTCGTTCCAGCATCACCACATAGCACCTAGTCTGCTTCGGGCCTACGCATCTTCAGCCCTTTCATGCGCCTAGGACTTTTTCCACGAATATCTATCCCGGTTGCTGGTGTCCAGATGATGCCGGGGCTTTCTGCGTCGCCATAGATCTATTTATAAGGTAGTAGTTTGGCCAGACTTAGGACGGCATTACTCGATACAGCTGACCATATCCGACTTTGGATTCGGACCTGAGTAGTTGGACATGCGCCTGAACTCTCGTTTCTTGGAACTGAGAACTTTAGGAGAATCTAATGCCTGTGGTTTCCGGCCGGAAGTTAATATTTATGCCCGATGCTTGTCCCTTCAAGATAGGCACTTTATCCTCCGTACCATATGCACGCATCTCTTTCAGCCGGCTGATTCGTACATTTGCCGCGCATACTTTTCAGCATGCAAGAAGATTGCTCGTTATTGCAAATAAACGTCTTTCTTGGATCAGATCAATCAATGCTATGCGCCACCAACTTGTCTGAGTTGTCTTTGGGTTATAGCACAGCATGGGCTTTTTGACTTCCTATGCCTTGCTCCCTGTCTGATTGTATCAATCAGGAAATAACGGTGCGAAGCTTCCGTTGCGATGTGCATCAAAAGTTACTTTTCTCTCGGGCTTATCAGCTCGGTCACTTTAAAGATACCCACTCTCCAACATTCTGTTCTTCTCTCTGCTCTTCATGTCTGAGCACTGTGCCGCTATGGAAAGACACTCTCCGTTGCGATGTGCATCAAAAAATACGTTTATCGTGGTACAGGCGAGTCCAAGCCAAATATTGGCATTCATGGCCGCGAAGTCACAACCTAGAAGAGGATAATCGGGGAGGAGAACTACCGAGCAAGTTCAAGACCCATGGGGTTTCACCGGTTTGGTAAGTTCTCATACTTGCCTTTCGATTTTGAGGTATGCTTCCTCCGTGATAAATCATCTGACTGTAAGCCACTCGTCCCATGTTGACTTTCGACTTTAGTACCATGGATCTGATATGTATCATGAATCATCACGCCACGAATCGGGGAGGAAACTTCGCCTCCGTGCCTCTGTACGAGTTCAATAGAATCCATATTCTACTCGATGTGAAATATTCATTATCCATCATCTGAATTTATGTTGCCCCCGCCGTCTAGGTTTCGCCGAGTTGATACCTGAAATAGCGTCTCGTTTCTCGGAATGGAAAAAGTACATCCGCTACGACGTGCAACAGAGCAGTTTCTTCTCGCCCTCATTGGTGTCAATCGCTACAGAGATCCTCAAGGATTATGAGCATCTTCCGCTGCAACTTCATCAATTCGATCTCGTCAATCGTTCCTTTTTCGTCCTTTCGATCAGCTGTTCCACTCACTGCATTTGCCTCCTTCCCATTTGGAATGACCAAGTCTGACCGGGTTCCAAAGAAAGGAACCCCAAGGCTTCGCAACTTGGCAGTCATCTCTTTTACCATTTGCATCTGGGCTTTGTAGACCTTCATATCGAAAGTCTTGAGCTCTTTGGTATGGTCGTCGGAATGATTGCTCGCAAACCCAGGTGTGACGGCACCACCAACTGCTTTTCTGGAGTATGTCAATACGTAGATTTGTGCATCGACGAAGCGTGACTTACAACACATCATCAAGTTTCTGCTGGCCTTCCTTTCTTGCCTTCTGCTTCTCAACCAAGTTCTGTCTCCCATTCCACCACTCTTCCTCATGATCACGTTGATTCTTCATCATCTTGAAAATATAGTTAGCTCTGAATTATATTTGAAGCACGGGAAACATACTTTCCGAATGTCGTTGAGGATACTTTCATGCTTCACTACAGTTCTCATCACACATTTTAGACCAGCCGACCATTCAGTGATTGTAGATGGATCAGCCACACTCGTCTGAGGTGGTGGTTCGGATGGCGTTGTTGAGCGCGGGATGGACGACACCTGTTCAGCAGGTGGAACCCAGGACTGTTGAGAAGGCTGAAAGTGAGAAGTGAAGGAGGATGGCTGGCCGTATGCGGTAGGCTGATCTTGTTGCGGCTGAGTTTGAGGTGCTAATGAAGCAAGGGTCCTCAGTATTGACGCCAAATCTGGCTGTGCTGGCTGATCATTCGAAGCCATCCCAAAAAGTGAGCGCCTTTGGACCAAAGACAAATCAGTATGGCAACTTGTCAAGCAAGCGTTCTCAGTGCCAGAGAAGCACCTTTATGGCGAGTAAAATGAATCATCCAGATGATGCTGTGTCCATCATCTTGAGTTGTAAGATGGCAAAAGCGTGTCGTGATGCGTGAAGGAGCTCAGAACAGCCGCTCTCACACCGAAGGTACAAAGGAGTTGGCACTAAAATAAGCGACTTCAAGCATCATCAAAACACCGAGGTTTTTGCGGCTAATGCCAACCACTGCCAAAATCCTCGGAGACAGTCAGCTATGAGCAAATTATTAAACACTTCTTGCAAGTGTAATCTCATGTGTCTCTAGCATCGTCGGGTAGTAAAATATTGTAGGTCCACAGGTGCGAGATCACTGGCATCCAAGAAGCGGGTACTTCCCGCACCGCGCTAAAATGCATCCATCATCGAACGCCAAAACTTAGAAAATCTCCTGTTGTTCAAAGCCGTGAAGCAAATGTAAGAATACCAACCACCACCACCAATCCTCCCCTCCTATTCTTGGGCAAGAAGCAGCTGTGTTGATTCACCATGCCACGATCAGCGACAGATGCCACACGCTTTACCTCGACGATACCCCATCAATCCAAAGCGCAGCTTCCTTCCAGAAGCCAGCCACCCCGGAAATCGGCATCAACTCCATCGCCAACAGGAGAGACCCCTCAGGAGAAGGTCAGAAGATTAAGAGCTGCTGCGGATAGAGCTCGAGATGCACAGATTACAACGTTCGACAAGGTGGTCATTAGAGGCCGGGTATGGGCGGATCGGGCACATAAATTTGTCACGCTGAGTCTGATTGCAGCTACAGGTATTGCCGCCCAAGCTCTAATACTTGAATCCTGGGTAGAAGGATTCCTCTAGATGCTAATTGGTACTTTGCAGTGGTTGCTGGCGGTGTTACGGTCTATGCTCTGGGCGACATGATGATCCTCAACCGGAAAAAGCGAGCGCAGTTCTTTGAAGAACAGAAAGCCATCCGTGCGAATGCTATATATAAGGCGAGGCAAGCTATTGAATCTGGGACTGCCACAGAAGAAGACATCAAATTTATTAGTCTTGAGGACGAGCATGCTGCCCGATTAGAGGCTTTTATACGGGCGAAGAAGGAGAAGAAGGGCATATTCACGAGAGGCAAAGAATGGCTCTTTTCTGGTCTGAAGAACGAGGAAGAGGGTGATAATGTGGGGAGCAGCGAAAAAAGACTGGGCTATGAGGCTATGAGCGAAGAGGACGATGTATTGGGCGAGCGGGAAAGTGATATTGTGCGCGCAATTGAGGATAAGAAGCTTGCAATTTCGACGAAGGCTAAGCAGGCCTTCGCGGATGAGAAGGCGAGACAGAGAACGGGAGGCCCCCTGGATCGCATAGGAACCAAGTCCAAGGATGATGACCAACCGAAATCTACAAGCTGGACCTCATTCCTGGGCAGACGGTGAGGAGTAGGAAGGATTCTGAATTGTGTAAGATTGTATCATAAAGGTATCATACCGGAAGAGGTGCTTGCATGGATAGGGCGTTCGTTCGACAATCTCCTGTATAATGGATGTTGAAATGACCAGATCAATACGCTGCTTGTGGGTTCCTGGCCAAATTGACCTTATGGTTGTCTATGCATTTGCATGCTACCCTTTCAGTCTTGATGCGCTGCCTTACAGAATGAGCCGGGTATGCCAATTATCCTCCTTGTGTGTCTCCAGAACTCACGTGTTTGTATTTGTGTTGACATCTCAAGAGCCTCACGCCAACTTTCTTCGGAGCTTAATTTGTCCATGCAGTTCACAATTTGCAACTGCATATGAGGCTCTTAAGTTTCCGTAACCCAGGGATGGGTATTGACCGAGCAATGGACAACGCCAGCTGTTGAAATCTGATAAAGCAGCCACCCGCAAGAACCTTTTGTTTCGTCTCGGTACCTGGGGAATTGTACGGCAGAAACATAGCCAGATATACATCTCTATCTAATTTATCTATTATGCCGAACGATTTCTTGCATTTGCTAGAAGTAGTTGTATCTCAGTTACGAGCTAGTTGATTACGCTGACATTGCCATCAGGCTCGCTTAATTTGTTGTGGTAGGATATTTGGTGGAGATCGGGTAAAGTGAGCGCGATCTGCCTGCTCGCAATCGGAAAAAGACCTATTAGATGGTGAACCTTACTATTTACATCTTTCTAACATGCCAGAAGACAGCAGATTCTGAAGACGAACTTGGACCCACATCGCGGAACTTAGGCTTGGCAGGGAAACGAGTCATAGAGAACGACAAATTTAGATAGATTCTCTGAAGTAGGACAGAAAGTTTGACAGCTAACAGTCCTGAATGGTGTTCAAGTATAGCGAAAAGTAAATTTTCGCCCATCTCCAATAAACAGTGACCAATCACCTCAGAACGGTAGTCTCAAATCTCGTGCAACGCGATATCAGGGGGAAAAAAACCCAGATCAAATGGATGTCAAAGGTCACTATTGGCCAGAAAACACATGAATGTTGGTGGACTAGTCGAAGAGAGGCAAGTAACAAAACTCACGGGATGAGTCAACAAATAGTAACATTGTTTTAGACCACCATTTTTCTGATGCCGAAGATGGAATTTCAGGCGGTTTATGTGCTTACAATACTTAGCCCTTTCCTAATTTGGATCTGTACCTTTCAGAAGTTAGGAAAATCTAGTCCAAAGTCAATTCCGACCAGACTCTATGTGCTAGGTGCTACTGTTAGGTTGTCGTCGCTGCTGCATGGACTCGGCAACTGGACCATGCGTTTCATAACCCGAACTGGCGGGTACAATATCCCTCTTTTATCTGGTCTCCCGCAAAATCTAACATGGTTAGCATTTCTAGACAAAAACCACCAAAGTCAAAGTGATCAGCAAAGGTCTACCATCGAGATCTTCTATCGATCCAAGCCCGCCCAAAGCCATTTTCTTCACTATCAAGATGCATCCTCTTATTTTTTTTTTTTGGAATAAATCAGCCATGCTTCATGATAATGAGCCAGTATGTGTGTTTATATAAATGTCGATGCTGCTTCAAACATATAATCGTGCTCATCATGCGTAAGAATGGCAGCACAGTCTCGCCACAAGAGTCTGAAAAGCGTGTTGAGATGACCGAACTTTCTCAAGAACGAAACAGAATCGTGGATTAAAATGAGTGGAGAGGTTGCGTACCACTTGTTAACAAGGGTGCGAACTCTGGAGGTAAGCATGTTCAATTTCACACAGCGATACTGCACCAGTGTGACAATCGCCATGAACAGCAGCTCCACTGCGTATTGAAGGACGAGGGAGTCGATTAAAAGTTTCGGACCGCGTTGTAGGTGGAAATTTCTTGCCTCGTAGATGGGTATCGTGCTATCCCGAGTGCTTTAGGGATCTTGGCTGTGGCACTGGGGTTTGCGAAGACAACGATGACTCAATCTGGGTTGAGGGTGGCGTTTATAGGAAGTCGAAGCATTAGTCGGTCGTTCAAGGACTTTGTATTTGACTACCGAGTAGTCTAGAGGTCCACCGAGGATAAGAGCATTGTAAATAATGTAGAGATCTTCGTTTCCCCAGTTGTAAGATGATCTCCACATCGTTATCCACTTCAGGGGTGTAGGCTCTTCCTTTCGAGACAAAGTGCTAGAGATTCCAGTGCTGCGAGAAGGCGACTCATATGGTAGAAGCATTGTACTCATAACAGCAGCGAAAACTGTTCCAGCCCAAGAAAATAAATAACAAAACTCAGATAATGATAGCGATTACAAAATGTACATTGCCGGCGACTTTCCTTCAACCGAGGTCACGGAATTTACAGACTCTGCCACGTATGCAAAGCCAGTGATATACCAAGTAGGATAACGAAGACAATTGAACAAACACGATGGCATCATAACTATAGTAAGAGATGATTATGTCTAAGCTACAGTGAGTAAGGGAATGCTAACTGTACCGTGTGAGGTGGTATGGCATGATAGTTATTTGCTAGCAGCCTTCCTGCTCATGAGTCCGGCGGGTTTGAAGTTCTGGCTTCAGTAAGGAAATCCGATGAGGTAAATATCATCGATTTGAAGTTCAATTCAAGGTCAATGTCAGAAGTCGAAGGTTATAGATAGCGATCATCGCTATGATGATTATTGCGCTGCTTGTAGAGCATCCTGGTCACAGAGCATGGCAGCACCACTTAGCGCGAAATTCTTGAATCTTGGACTTCGCACAACGCTTAACCGTGTCTTTTACTCCGACGTTCGAGATGTCAAACTTTACGGGTCATAACTATCTCGATCGAGTAGCTAGGTTCGTGGTGAAGAATCGCCCTTCCTATGCTTTTAACACCAAAATAGAAAATGCTGCCGTAATGAGTGAAACGAAGCAACGCAAGATGACAAAACGGAATGGAAGTTGAATCAAATATTGCTTCTCAACAAATGCATTCTAAGCGACCCTGCTTGGCAAGGCGACTGAACTCGCTGCGCCATATGTCCATAAAGTCCAACGCCAGACACATGCAAGAATAACCCATCCTCCCTAGAACAATCATTCAGAAAGCAAGCCGTAATCATAGCCAAACCACTGCCCTCACCAAACAGCCAGAAACTATATCTGGTTGTTAAGGTTTCCTCCTTCTACCTCCCCATTTTCTACTAGCTCCATTTCACCTTCTTCATCATCATCATCATTCTCTGAATCCTCCGCCTCAACCTCCTCCTCATCGTCCTTAAAACCACTCTCTATCTCGAGCTTCCTGAGACGTCTCCGCATGTCATCTCTCTGCCCATCTTGCCATCTAATCAAAGTCGCTGGGGCGTGCACTCTGAACCCGTAAATTCGAGGAATATATCTGTCGGCGCTCTTTGCGGGGATCAGGGCGGGATAAACCTGAAAGATAATGTTGTGAAAGGAGGTGCCGAAGTATGCGCCGTCGATGGCGGAGTGGCGGGAGGACTTAGGATTGTAGATGTCTTCGCATTTGGCACAGTACAGCTTCACTGCTTTGACGTTCGGGTTATCCGACTGCCCCATTGGGAGGAGGGGATGCGATTTGCACATGACTCTGGGACATTTTCCGAAGTCTGCCTTCTTGTACTTGTCAAGCTAAGGGAAAGGGTCAGCAAAGATTCCTCTACATACGCGAAGATCGGATTGCTACACACCATTTTGGCCAGACCCCTAGTAGTAACGATATATCTGGCATGAACAAGTCCGTACAAATGCCTCGCAGACTTCTCGATCGTCTCCCGCATCTCATCATCACAATCTAGGTCGAAGACATCTGTGACAAGATCCAGAGCATATTGGTAGTATTGAACTTCCGTATTCAGGCCAGTGAGGTTGAATCGATCGGTGAGGTAATCTTCATCGATCTCACAGAAGTACTCGTTGCCTCGAGACGATATAAACTATACACAAAGCCGTTAGCGGATTTATTCTCCTGGAGATAATGTCAAATAAGTACGCAAGCAGAATAGGGTCCATCATCTCCATGATGCACTTGGAGACCCCAATCTGCTGAAGAGTTCGAATCCGAATTGCCGAGATTGAGATTTCCACTGCGAACCCAACCACGTCGCTGTAGACAGGTCCTCAGCTTGCCCAAGCGAACACCGCCCATATTATGTTCCAGATTTTCGTTGGCGATATCCCCAGAGCTTGAATGCTCCATCATATTTATTGAGGGATGCATAGCTGTATCAACCTCTCTGAGAAGGACAGGCGGAACCGGGCGAAACAGCTGGGAAGGTTGTCGAAGGTTTACGGCAAGTGCTGCAGAGGTTGAGGAGAGAATAAACGCTTCGATAATGGATGTAGGTTCAAAGGTGAGCTCTGCGGTTTGCATGTACATGTTGAACGGCCTAGACGAGGGGTTCCGCATACGAATGCCGTGGGGTACCGTTACCGCGCCGATAGTGATGGAGGCCATATATCTAACAAAGAATGACCGCAGTTGTCTCTCCTGCAAGTTTGGACCCTTCTTCGCAGCTGTCTCTCCATGCAGCAGAGACAAAAACGTGCGGCGCAAAGGAAATAAACGTATAGGAAAGCTGAGGCTTACCCAATCTCTCCAGTAGCTGGTGTAATCGCTATCTGTCTCGCTGTTGAAGTCGTCCATATTTCGCGTCGCCCTTCAGCATGTGCTCTTGCGGCACCTGCCAAATTGTAGGCAACGGTGTCGTTGCTGTTCAAGGGGATATCCTGAGCTGTGGTTTGGGGTTGGGTGCAGTCAGTTTCGCTTGGAATATTGGTTTTGGAGGGGCAGGGCAGTCACCGCCCTCAGCCTCAGGCTGCAACTAGTGTACAGCTGCGCTAAGCCCCGCTAAGCCCCCCTTTTACCGAACCGACGATGTGTTTACTTTCATCCGCTTGCGGCTACGGGAATTTTAGGACAGTATAGAAAGGTCAAGTAACTTCCATACGATAACGATTCTCCTCTCGAGTACTCGTAAATAACTTCGACTGCTACTTGCACAAGGTGAGAAATCTCTCCTGCATGTGCCACAGATTGCTCTTGTTAGGAAGACGATAATTCTGTCTAGATAACACCTTGATAAGAAAAGTGGGGAAGGGGGAAGAAAGCCGATTCGTAGTCATGGCTACAAGAACTGACATCCATACCAACTGTAAATATCATTGCTCAAGTGGACAATCAGAGATTTATTTTATTCCCAACAAATGGCCTTATTCTAGTGCCACGAAAATTGCTTGAGTATCATCCGTGAGTGTGTACCGCCTAAGCATTCGGCGACATTTGATTTGAGTCTCAACCCATTTGTTACTGAGGTAAATAAATGCCTCAATCACGATTTGTAGAGCCAATACCTCAAGTTCCCCTAGGATGTTTGGATGACTGATGGAGGCGCATCAATTCTCTTCCCAAAACATCGCGGAAATTTCAATTTCTCCACTAATCTGAAGTTGTACACAATACAAGCTGTGATTGTCAGGAATCATGATAGTTGATTTTGCATGCTTCTGGCGCGCAACATAGCAGCTCATGGCAGGCATGGGCATGAGGTTGGCTGTCAATGAAGCAAGCCCACTGTATGCTACATTTGAATCTCTTTATGAAGAAGGACTTGAGTTGACCGAGGTCGAACACGCCGAATCTTTGGGATACTTATAGCATCAATAACCCATATGCAGCACACGAGTATGCTGCCCAACACTTTTACAAACGCTTTAAATCTCACGATTTCCGTTATCGACAGCAATGATCAGATGAACATGACCCCAATTGGATGTAAGGGCACTTCATAGTCTGGAAGCTGGAGCACTGGAAAGCAAGGAATGCGTAGATCTGGCGAACCTGTCTACTTGTGTTGTGCAAAATTGCTCATACTTATGGAGCGCGACATAAAAGTATCGGATAAAACAGGAACAGTGTTGCCTAGAATTGGACTTGACATAATACTGGCCTATTCGCAACACTTGACGATGCTTCTGCAATGAATCGATCGACACGACAAGGAGGCACAGATTCTGGGTAAATTTGACCATTGCGGAACCGATAACGATAGGTATGGGATATCATGATTTCGAGTCAACAATACAATGATGCCTGAATCGATGTAACAAAAGACAGAGATCTACGAATAGCACCGGCAACTCTGCCAATATGGCATCGAGGCGAATGTCAAGGGCGGCGATATGCACCATTCAGCGAAAGGGTTCAGATCCATGTCCATGGACAAGATACGGGACAACGACCTATGACTGCTGGAAGTCTCGAGGTCTATTTTAGATTTACATAGCCTTCTGTGAGAAATAGTCTACTGGTGCACCAACATCCATCGGACTTCTTGGGCTCCGGCTGCCGCTACTTTGCTCATCAATATCGCTGCTATTGCTTCCGTTTGTGACAGGAGCGTTCTTGGTTCGGTGCGGAACCTTCAACCGTGAGCCTTCGAATAGAAAGCTTGTATTGCCGCGCTCATTCTGAGGGCTTCTGAGTTTGACCATCTCAAGGGCCTCTCTCAATGTATCCCCCGTCTCATCTAACGCTGTTAGGAACCGGGCCAATTCCTTACACAGCTCCCAGTCCCCTTCGTCCTTAGCTCTTGATAAAAGGCGGACCAACTGCTCGGAGCTTGAACTAAGTTCCTCAAATGTGTGAAGAATAAGTAGATAGCCTCCAGCGGTTTTCAACGAACCTCGCTGCAGAGATTCTTCGAATAGTTCTTGCGGTGGCGGTAAGTATGTAAATAGAGTACGCCATGAGCGTACTTCAGTCTTTCGCGTGCACTGAACAACGATGTCCAGATATTGTGGGAATGACGATAGGAAGGACAGAACGCCTGGAAGTAGCGCATTCTCAGGGGTTGGTTGATTATCAACTTCTTCATCAAGAACATTATGCAGAAGGATCTCAAGAGAATGAGGAAAATACTCCAGGCTCTGATACCGATGTGCAATGTGCAGCGCAGCCGATGAGTCGAATCGAGACAAGTGAAAGCGAAGGACTTCTGGAACAAACAACTGGGTCTGTAAGGAAAGGGTTAGCTCTTTTCAAAGGCGGGATGGAATAGACTTACCCGGATTGCGAACCTGAAGAAGGCAAAGTTCACATCACGTCGCTGGATAAGTTCTGGCTCAACGCCAAGAAGGATCCCCTTTCCTAGAAGAACCGATAGAGGGTAGAAGTCCACCGATATTGACACCATTGGAGGAAGTTCCCGGCCCAGTTCCGAGGGAGCTGAGCAGAGGACATCTTGAACATCGGTCCACAGTTTGACATCCTTTCCATCGAACACCCACAAAGAATCTCGCAGACCATTCCCTTCGTCCCTGTCAAGATGGTTACCAATTGACGCACTTCCTGTCCCAATCATCCGGGTCGGACTGGAGAGAGGAAGGTCCCTCATCAACGTGTAATACTCGACGTTTGGCGCAATAACCCGCATGTCATACTTGAGCTTTCCTTCTTCATTCAAAGATGGCTGCAGTAGAACCAATTTGCCGTCAACAAGGAAGAGCACGGTAGCAACTGCCACATCTTGGGAAGGATCGCCTTCAAGAAGTTGATCATCCGGTAGTATCCAGCTGAGTCCTCTGACCCGAGCAGGAGATCTGACGATGCCATGAAATGCAATCTGCCCAACTTGGACAAGTTTTATGGAGCCGGATACTGTTGTGAAAATGTAGTGATATAACAGATTGTCATATGTGTACACGAGTAACGAATCATCTCCGGATGGTGTAATGAGGACGACTGGCGATGGCACTATCTCAACATGAAGCACAAGTGAATTGTCAAGTGCTGCTTCACGGGAATAAAGGCGTAACTCGAATGAATCACCAGCCTCAATGGCAGCAACCAGAATATGCTGGTGCCAACACATTCCACCTCGAACCTGAAATTCGTTCTCCATGCTTTCACTGACGAATGTCTTCCATCTGCCGCTATTTATGCTGTAGTGTGCTAGCCCACGGCGACCAGCAACTGCAACATATCTGCCATCTGCTGAAATGACAGAGCATCGCATAGGCCACTGATCCACGAGGTAGCTGGATGGAATCTGCGCATTGTGCCACAGCGAGGATTCTGCTGAGATCGTGGTGAGATCTGGTAAGTCGTAGCCGCGATATACCATTATGCTTGAAGTGGTCTGAAGCAGGGTTCTTGAAATGTTCGCGGATGCATAGCATCCAGTTACAGCACTTCGTGCCATTTCCAGCGCCCAGATTCGATCATCCTGCTGACCAATGATGAGAATCTCCGACCCACTTCCTAGCCAGGTCGCTTCCTTGACGCCTTCCAGCCAACCCTCTGCATGCTCTTCAGATATTCTTGGATCGCATCCAAAGCTTGTGGCACCTGGCTTCCCAAACACACTCCATGTTGCCCAACCATTTTCAAAGCCAGCAAACAGATAATATCCGTCAGGAGAATAGGATAAACAAGTTATACGACCCGAAGATTGACCTGACACCGATGCCCTATGCAAATGAGATGGAGGAATGTTACCAACGTAGTCCCTCGCTGTGTAGACTTGGATTGTCCCGTCCACGCAGCCGATAGCTATCAGCGAAAATCTTGCATTTATGGCAGCCTTTACTGCGTTCCTCGCAGGTGAAGTGGGACTGTGAAAACAGTAGCCCCGGAAGAGTTTAGAAGGAGCTTCCGCATCCTTTTGCTGAGGCAGACGCTGTACCGCATAGCCTTTCCCATCATTCGTTATCCATGTCGAAAGGTTCATCGGTCTATCATGGATCATTTCGGTTACTGTGGTCTTCTTTGGCAGCCAATCCATCCGACTGAACAATTCTGTACTCGTTTGGTTTCCTGCACTATCAGGGGTCCAACGTATACATTGCACTGCTGCCGGTTTCTGTGTTGCAACAACTAATTCATCATCAAGTGCAAGCGCTTTGCCAATTCCAGCGTCAACTTTGATCACCATTCGAAATCGTACTGAAACTTCCCGGGCTCCGCCTCCCTCTCCAGGGCCCCAGAGGATCCTATCGCCTCCTTGACTCCGTGCTCCGCTAAAATTACTTTGTCTTCGAGTTTGCCCACTAGTGTGATTTGTAAAATGAGGTCGATACACCCGGGCGTCAGGGTCTGTAGCGAGTGTATAGGTGATCAGATATCCCGAAGTCGTCTGTACAACGAATATCGCAGAGTCGGGACGTACGAGAAGGGAAACATTAGAGCCATAGGTGCTCAAGGATTTCCTCGAGCGGACCACTACGGCTAATATGGCAGTTGGCTGTACGAATCGTTAGCGGCAATGCTTGCCCGAACGGGAGAGAACACACCTTCGTCTGCCAAATTGTCAACGAAGTTGACGTTATTACTGCGAAAAGATGCCCCGTCCTCGAAATCTTTAGTGACAATAAGGGTTCCTTCCCAAGAGATCCTGATAATGTAGAGTCATGTCCAGCTGGCCGCGAAGAGAGGTGTCGTTGGGTATCGTGTTCCAGGGGATGGATGCCTGGAGTCATTGGCGTTACTGGAGTTGATAGCTCCGAGGGTATCTCATTGTCAATTTCATCCTCCAATTCGGACCCGTTGCTCGGAGCATCTACCAGCGATCCGCTGCCCTCGGTCGTCTCGCGCGATTCCGCATCATCGTCAGATTCCAAAAGGCGGTCCCTGCGAGCTTTTCTGTTGGTGGCTGCATATACCCTCGGGGCTCCAATCGGCCAGTACATGCCGAAGAGCTAGGCTGGCACATCAAGGCATACGAACGAGCAGGCGAAGCTCTAATCTGTGTCGTCGTGGTGCATCTCGGAGAAGCTGGGGAGAGAGTGCAGTGAGGTTATGCTCAAAGTAGACCACCCGGATTTGGGCAAGTGCCGAGCTACTACCTTAACCTCACAGGGGTTCCACAAGCATACAAGCGAGGATGAAGGAGAACGATGGCATCGCTTCTAGTGTTGCTCGATTCATTCCTTACACTCATACTTCCGAGTCATCATCTTCGTTTGTATATTCACACCTGTCAAGAATCATAGTCCCAGTGTCGCTACGACAATTTACGATGTTCCTCTGAAATAATACACTTACCGACAAAAGGCTCGAGAATTGCGATTCCTGTGTATTCCACACTTTGCGTCTCTGACAGCTCGGCATCGACCATCTACCTTCGTCTTATCATGGCACCACTTCGCACACGTCAGAGTATCTCGAAAGATAAGTTCTCAGGATACTTCGGGACCCTTCGAACCATAGCGTACCACGATCCTTCGTCTCGAGGAGTCGGTTCTCATGGGTATGTGCTACATCATTTGGCCACTTTTCCAGACCTCCATGTTTTTCTTTCATTGCTTTTCATGCTTGTGATCTTATTAGATCATGGGTTTACATCTTTTCAACTGCTCTTGATCACGTGTGGGTCAGTGATGACCAAATGAGTTGGGTTGAGGAAGCAGAACTACCATTGGTAGTACCAGACCCTTTGTCTTTGAGGCGTAACTCAGTAGTCTATGCATTTCATAGCTGAGAATTGGTAGACTGACATCATCCTAGCATCCGATCTATTGCATGGAACCCGCTTGGAACCTTGATAGCAACTGGTGCGGACCGAATACTTCGAGTGTAGGTCTTTCTCTCACTGACGGGCATTTCCTCTGGATTGACGATTGTAGCTGGAACCCAGAACGACAGAATGTGAAGTACTCCACAGAACTCAAAGGACATACAGCTCCTATCGAGAAAGTGGCGTTCAATCCTGTCAAGGATGCAGAATTGTGTAGTGTCAGTAGCGACGGTGTTGTGAAATTTTGGGATGTCCGAACCAAAGCTGTAATAAACGAGATCAAGGGACTTGGCGATGCGTTCACGCTCGCCTGGTGCCCTGATGGAGAGAGTTTGGTAGTGGGCAATAAGGTACGGCTCGGCTATGTGTTCTCAAGAACCAAGTGCTCGGTTTACATCTCGTGTGAGTAGTGCTAACTGGCCATAGTCTGACAATCTCTTCGTTCTGTCGCCCACTCAATCCACCCCTATCGCTTCTCACCAACAATCTATACAGACGAACCAGATTACGTTTTGTCACAGCGGCAAAAAAATATTCGTAACAACTGGGGAAGGCAGAATTAAGATCCTTTCATACCCAGCATTTGAGCCAATCTTCTACTCGAAGTCTGACCCCACTAACGCTTTCACTCTCAACGGCCATACTTCATCTTGTATCTCTGTTGACATACAGCCGACAGCACGATTTCTTGCTACTGGAGGATCTGATTCAATCATTGCACTTTGGGACACCACAGATTGGATCTGTCAACGAACCCTGATCGACATGACCGGTCCTGTCAGGAACATATCCTTCAGTTTTGACGGAAGTTACATTGTTGGTGGAAGCGAGGAAGGATCTGGACTGGAGATCGCACACACTGAGACTGGCGAGTATGTTCACAGTATCAAAACAGCAGGCTCTTGTCCAGCTGTAGCTTGGCATCCGAGTAGATACTGGCTGGCCTATACGGATCTCGGAAGTCTTCGGATCATTGGAGTTGATCCTGATAGAAAATAGAGAAATGTGTTCATATGTAATGAGGGATGACGATCGATTAGACTTCTACAACACTTCTATCTTTCTGCGTCATCATAGCAATGGCAATTGAAGCCGGAAACATTACATTACCATGTGGAAATAGATCCCGAGTAGTTCTCGTTTCTTGAGAAATTTCAGTCATCAGACGTAGAGCGGGAAGAGCTGGAGAGCTGATTCATGCAAATAAGTCGTCACACCAAATTGAACTGGTTTGACCAGTTCTGAGCAGTTCTGAGCAGGAGCCGGCGTTATCCGACTTCAGAACACAGGAACAAACTGAGGGGGTTGATTTAGCCTGTATGAGCCAAGTGTTGAGGGAAACTTTTCATTTCCAATATCCCGAAACACGCAGTTAGATTCTTGTAGATCTCCAGGAGCGGAATTGCTATGATTCATCTCGGTATATCAGTTCCAAATGAACCTATCAAGGGGTAGCTGCCACACTGGTATCCAACGATGTGGTCTTCCGTTGTTGACAGAGCAAGGAAGAAGCCAAGTTGTCACAGTACGCTTTTTGCGCTCGCATCGAGTTTCTGCAAGCAGCAACCTCGGTGATCAGATAGATCCAGGCATACCAGGCCTCGTGGCGAAACGTCACCTCTGCTCTACTGGATATAGTAATCGAAGACAGGATAGTAGTCGGCTCAATTATTCCCCCGCCTCGGCAACCCAAACAGGATCAGGATGGGTTGACTTAAGCCTGTGAAGACACACACGCTCCTTCACCGCCTGGGATTGATTGGTAACAGCTCCCCGCAAGGCTGAACTAAGTGGCATCAAGTTGAAGCATGTGTTGCAAAAGCGTGGAGGTCACGCTTACGGAATCAGACTCAGAATCCGCTGGTGCCTGGTGAGTAGACCATTGGACACTTTGTGGCGCGCCGGTTGCATCAGCCGTGCCGTTTGAATCACAGCGAGCGCAGTGGGATGGAATGAGATGGAGATGAGGATGGGGATGGGGTGCTGTGAGGAGACAAGACAAATTGCGCCAGGGACGCTGCCACATTTCGTTAGAATAACAGCCATCAAAACCGTTGGCAGGCCGGGCGGCTGCTCAGTGCTCAGTGCTCAGTGCTCACTCAGGTGGACCCTGTGCACTCACTACCTTACTGTAGCACTGCTGTACCTCCACTATCCTGGTCTTTACTATCTCTGGTATCCTGCGCGTTCCGTAAAGTAAAAGCGCCCCCAGACCCTCTTTATAATAATACCTTGATCTACTTTATCGCGTCCCTCGCGTTTCCACAGATGCCACCATTCCTTCCTTGCCCTCAATCCAGCGAACCGTTTATTTCCTCTTCCTTCTTTCATCTCTACCGCAAGATTTGTTAGACGTGATCAAAAGTCATAGGTCATAACAGGACAGGTTGACGTTACCTGACGTTTGCAAGAGGCGGTTTGCTATTTTGAGCACAGACACCGGCCGGCTTTGGACCCTCTCTTGTTCCTGAACGCCGGGCTTTATCTCCAATCCTCAGATATTCATTCCAGCTCAGGTCCAAGGATCCCATTCTGAAAAGGAATATTCAGCACACAGCTATGTAACAAGTACAGCTGGACAGACAAGTTATCTCATTCAAGAGAAAGTACCGAGTTCTGGCCAGAACCTCGAAAGTGACCCACTACGTCGAGCGGCACAGCTCAATAAGAGCTTGATTACTATTCAGTCTCAACACGACTTTCACAACCACCAGCACTTGGATATTGACAGTCGAGTTACCAGAATTGGAATTTTGTCCCATTTCTGTTCCAAGGCCCCTAATTATGTCTACCAGCTCAAATACTCCTCCAGACGGCTACTTCAACGACCTTTCTCGTCCAACGGGGAATGCGGGACGGAACAAACGAGCGCGGAGCCCCCCAGGAGATGGAAATGAAGCTGCGGACCATGCGAGCGGAGGAGATGCGAATGTCCCCAAGCCGAAGAGAATAGCTTGTATCATTTGCAGGAAGAGGAAGCTCAAGTGCGACGGCACGAAACCTAGTTGCTCGACATGTACACGCCTGGGACACAGTTGCGCCTATGACGAAGTACGCAGGAAATCTGGACCAAAGCGCGGCTATGTAAAGGCTCTGGAAGAGAGACTGAGTATGTGGTTCTTGCTTGACAGAATTCGTTAGCAAGTATCCAGGAACAAGCACTAATTATGTGTTCTCCAGAGCAAGTCGAGACTTTACTGAAGACGCAGGATCCTGTGCCCCCAACGCCAGAAATCCCGCAGAGTTTCACTAATGGATCGGCAACTGTCAGCGGAGTTGGCCTCCGACCAAGTCCTGCGGGCGATTTCAACATTTCGAACCCTTCGATAAACCTTGGGAGCGGAGCAGATGCCGACCGTTGGGCGTTCAATGGGGAATCGCCTCAAGCGCCGATGGACATGACGTTTACGGGGGACATGAATATGGGCATGGGTCTGGATGATAACACATTCACATGGGAAATGATAGGACTTGGTCTGGAAGAGCCTTTGCCTCCTCAAGACACTATTGATGAATTGTAAGTCCACTTGCGACTCCATGGAGTATGTGCTCATGTTACAATCCAGACATCAGATCTATTTCGACAAAATCCACCCTTCGGTACCTATGATTCATAAATATCGATACCTTGCAGCAATGAATCTGTACGTGCTTATTGTTTCCCAACTTACTTATAAGTATCAAGATGCAGAAGCTTTTCCGATTTCTCGGCTGTAATCTATTGCTTTTCCAATATTCCATTTTACACGACCGTTCCACATGTTTGAAGTCAATTTCCTGCTGATACAATCCCCTTTTGCTGCCAGTCAGCTTACGCCAATAATTGAATAAGTACAAGCGCATGTGTACTGACAATTGAATAGAGCACCAAGTCAACGCCCTCCTGTGGCGCTTCGATATGCTATGTGGACACTTGCTGCGACTGTAGCCGACAAATACATGGATCTGAAGGACCATTTCTACCATCGCGCTCGCAAGTACATGGAGACGGACGCGCTGAAAGGACACGGTGAACACATCATCTCTATTGCACATGCGCAGACACACGCACTTTTGGCCTCTTACGAATTCAAGATGATGTCTTTTCCCCGAGCCTGGATGAGTACAGGAGCTGCTATTCGGATGTGCCAGATGTGAGTGAAACGAGTACGGTGCTTCTGCGTAATTCAGCTAACCCAGCCAAGGATGGGGTTGCATCGTCTTGATGGAGCTGGGTTGGATGTAAAACAATGTCTACCTGCTCCACGAGACTGGACGGAACGAGAAGAAAGACGACGGACCTTCTGGTACGCATTCTGTGAAGACCGCTACGCCAGCATTGGCACGGGATGGCCGATGTCTATCGATGAAAAGGACATTTTGACAGACATGCCCGCTTCTGAGGAAGCATTCAATATGAGTAAAGCGGAGCGTACCCTTTCGTTGAACGATTCCATGTCGCCCTCAGGTGCATCTAAGCTTTCATCATTTGGAGGCGTTGTGTTGATGGCATGTCTTTTTGGTCGAAACTTGATTCATCTTCATCGACCAGATTCTGACGGCAGAGATGGTGACTTGAATGGGGAGTTCTGGAAACGCCACAGAAATATGGACAATATTCTTCTGAATACATCGCTATCCATGCCATCACACCTAAAGCTTCCGAATGGACTCAACAATCCCAATATTGTGTTTACGAACATGAACATTCACACGTCGACGATTTGCTTGCATCAAGCTGCTATATACAAGGCGGACAAGAACCATCTTCCGGCATCCATCAGTGCAGAGAGCAAAGTACGGTGCATCACAGCAGCTAATGAGATCGCGAACATCATGCGTCTAGTCTCTCACTTAGACCTTTCATCTGTTAGTCTACATTCTCAACCTTCTTACCACTCGAGATTAACTCGTAACAGACAAACCCCTTCATTTCTTTCTGCCTATACGTAGCTGCACGAGTCTTCGTTCAGTACCTGAAGAGCCGACCGGATGACAGCCAGACAGCAGACTCTCTCAGATTTCTTCTGTCTGCAATGAATGCTCTTAAGAAGAAGAATCCTTTAACAGAGTCGTTTTTGGTACAGTTGGATGTTGACCTGGAAGGCCTTGGTATGCGCAACCCAAAGTATAAGTCTGTTTTTGCATACAGTGAAGATAACGTAAGTCGCCTAGTAAATTGTGAATGCTCATGCTGACATGAAGTAGCTTGGAATATCAAGTGCAACGATGCCAAAGCTTGGACAAGGACCCAATGGACTCCCAAACACCTTTCGAAATGAATGCATATACACGAAGATTCTAGGAGAAGTTCCAATGGGAGAGGAGGCAAGTCCTACTGGTACAACCGAAAATCAGAATGATTTCCGGCGCGACTCGGAACCGAATTCAGCTGGGGCTTCAAATTCAAGGAATGAAGCCTTTGGAGACCAGACAAATTGGATGCCGCTTCCTGACCATGCACCTACCGATTCTGGGAACGAAGTACAGAGAACACTGCAGGGACTGGCGATCGGCGAAATTCGTCGCTCGGCAGCCTATGGATCTGGAGACATGAACAGCTACGGCAATAGTGACAGCAGTAACGGTGCAGATACGGGGCTCTCGCCAGATACAACGCATTCATCCTCCAACCGGCCTACACCAAATGCCTCTACACCTTCAGATTCACGACCCAATCTACAACCAGGACAATCTGATTCAGGAGCTGCATCTTACGAAACCAGTCCTGCTTCTTCCCACCAGAACCGACCTGCTGCTGACAGTCGCTCGATGTCTTCCTTCTTTTCAACACAGCCGGACTACAGTAACATTCCATCGACCGGCATGACCCCAGACTTCAGTATGCCAGAGACACCTGGTAGAGGGTTTGAGGTCCCAAGTGGCTGGGAGATGAGCAACCAACCTACATCAGGCTTGACTCCTGTAGGTGAAGGAGTATTTCGGCAGCTACTTGGACTCGGGCCCATGGACGCAATGTGAGTTGCACCAATAAAATATTCCAACTTTGGCCAGGTTTCTAATTATACTTCAGGGACATGGCATGGGAAGGCGGCTCATAGACACATGTCGGCATCTCACACAGTTTCGATTCTAAAAGGAGCCTCTTGGGAGGCAGGGTTAATATTGGATGATCTGCCAATCAATGGCAGGCGGTGTTTGTTACGAAGTTGGGAAATTACAGGAATGGGGACATAGCACACTGCCTGGGAGAGGCAGAATATCTGTCATTGTGTACAAGACTAAGATAGCACTCGTTTCTCATTTTGGCTAGGCGCAGTATTCACGATTTTTATGTACAACAGACGTAGCTGGGACATCTGGCTTGGGTCAGGTCAAAACAGGACAGGCTTGGAGAGGATTGAACATGCAGGAAATGAGTACGGATTGGCTTTTCCCACTCTTGCGATTGCAAAATTTGGTGTATTGGTGCATAGATGAATCACCATTATACTATTTTTATATCACATCCTTCTTCATCCCAACCCCCCGAGTCGTGCCTCCATATTTTCAATTCTCTGAATGGCTGGCACATCACTCACTTTCGGTCTTGCTCGTTCTGGATCCGCCCGTGTACCCTGACAAGGAAGACATCCCTGGATGTCAACAGGAGTGTATCTTTCAGGTTCTAAGTCCCTCGAGAATAAGATTGTGATTCGCTGTGGTTACCCAGCCCTATCACGCCATTGGGCGGCTCTACAAGTCTTGGAAGCCATCACCACCGCACTGCGAACACAAACGAAGATAATCCGAGCGAAGAGCATCTATATTTGGAAACCCCGCACACGCGCTAGTACTTTAACTCTCCAGTGATGCCAACCCAGCTTTGGGGAACCGACTGGAGTCCCTAGCTGTACTACATACGAGGTCTAACAAGGTTGGAGCAACAGGAGGACGGTACTTTTGTGAAACGTGACATGAGAAAATCTGCTATGCTTTTAGCTGGTGGACAAGAGATTCAGACGAATCGGAATAGAAGTCTTGAAGGTAGAAACGTAGTATGCATGCTTATAATATGCATAAATGTCTAAGATTGGAGGAGAGCAGATACTGGGATAGCTAAAATGCGATTGAAGGGAGGCACACCGACGCGTAAGAATGTGACTTTCCACTATTCTGGGATTCTGCCGCTTCATCTGCACATCGTTCTCTGCTCTTCCCGGAGTCGACGCCAGGATCGTCGTGTGCTGCAATAGAGTCCGAGAGGAGGCCTTCTGGAAGGGCCTGAGTAGTAGGTTGGGTTGCACGAACATGGCTTACCCGAGTTGACGGCTTGGCCGTATGTGCACCTATCATATGCAGCTGGGCGCCCGACAACTTGCAGATTGAACCTGGTAAAGATAAGATGGATTTGAGGGCACGAGGATGGGAAAAGGAGATGGTCTTGATTGAGTCGAATGGGAAACGGACACTCCGTCCTGCGAAAAGTAGAGTTTGAGCTGCGCGATTGATGCATGAATGATTCATCTGCCTTGGTTGAGATTGTTGTTCACACTTTGTTGAGACGAGTAATTGTGATGCCAGCTATACAAAATCTTACATTTCTCATGTACTTGTACTGGTACACGTATCTCAACTCCTTTTTGTACATAGCAGTCTTGAATCATGGAAGGGATAATTCCATACTGAGTACAGAGGGTATAGAAGAGCATCTACTTGACTCTTCGTTTCCCATGGTTCCTTTCTCGTGGTGCCACAACCCACTTGTTTGGTTTCCTGACCTTTCGAGTCTTGTAGCCTCCTTTGGCCTAGAAAGTCTTAGCGAGTTAAGAATTAGGGGCGCGAACAGAAGACTCACGGGCATACCCCACGGGCTGACGGGATTGACGTTTCCCTTAGACTTTCCTCTTCCACCACCGTGCGGATGATCAGCTGTGGGATGTTAGTATTTCTCGCAATGTTGAATTAAGCTCATATAGGAAGGCCTTACCGGCATTCATGGCAAGACCTCTGACTGTAGGTCGGATATTCAGCCATCGCTTCCGCCCAGCCTTCCCCAGCTGGGTATGTTGGTAGTGGGGATTACTAGCTACACCGATTGTCGCGCAGGCATCTCTGCTTACTTTTCGTACTTCACCACTTTGCAAACGGACGTTGACGTATTTGTTTCCACCACTAGTAGTTGCATCTTCTTTGGAAACGACAACTGCATAGGTGCCTGCGCTTCGGCAGAAGACAGCTCCCTTCCCTTTCGTCGAGCCAACATTGTAGATGATCGTTCCAATGGGGACCATGTGAAGTGGTAGACAGTTTCCTCTCCAAGCAGTCTTCGCGGCTAACACACCGGGATCCACAAACCCTCCCATACTGTCCAGAAGATCCTTGGGGATGCCAGCTCTGTAACTTTGAACAACATCTCCAGCTCTCATTCCCTCAGCAGCTACAATGTAACTCTTTCTGCCAGTTGCTTCCTCGTTGAGCAGTGCAATGTGTGCCGTTCGTCCTGGGTCGTGCTCGATGCGCTCGACCGTGTGCTTTCCAGGGGTCATTCGCTGGAAATCGATGGTCCGTATCCTTCTTTTGTGTCCACCACCACGATGTCTAATTGTTACTCGGCCACCATTGTTTCTCCCTCCCTTTCCATGCCCCTTCTTTGCGAATGTTAATGCCAGAAACGGCCTTCCCTTCCATAGATGGTCGTTGATAGGACGCTTCAGATGGCGTACACCTGGAGTTCGAGGCTTATATGTCCGCATCTGGAATGTTGAGTTGTTGTCAACTGTCGAAGGAGGTGCGAATCCTGGACTTGCTGCTACCTGCGAGGTAGATTCCGGCTTGACGGGGTCGATCGCGGTAGCATAGTATCGGGGGAGTGCATTTCGTAACGAGAGATATTGACACGAGGTCTTCTGGGACTGCCGCAGCAGCAATCGTGGTTGTAGCATGACGGCCAGACTCAATTGACTCGTCTGCCAGAGCTGGGTGTCCTGGCCTGGGGAGATGCGGTTGGTGCGCGGTGTTGTCGTCCAATATTTCTACGATAGAGATCCGAGCACTAGCTCACATCGCGTTTTGCAGCCACCCAGGCACCTGCGCCACAGCTAAAGTAGCTAGGGGGTGGGTTCGGTGCCCGTTGCCCTGCCGGGACCCGTTGCTACGTACTAGGGATGTCAGAGTCAACATGGAGCCCACCCTCCCTTGAATTTTCTCAGCACCCAAAAAGCCCTTGTCAATTGTCCTTGAAGCAATTCGAAGACTTGGAAAAAGAAGTGCAGTGCGGATCTTCTTGCTTGACACGCTTCCAACCACACAACCTGGCCCTTCTTTATCGCCCTTACATCAATCACGCTTTCCTCGTGAGAGTTTTCTGGTAGGGCCCACTGTCGCGCCAAGGAATACCCGTCCCAGTAAACAACCGAGCCTTTCAGAGACACCTCCAAGCTCCTCTGCCCAGGTCCTCGTCTTCCTCTCGACTTCATACCTCTTCCTTCAACAGACAACAACAACTCTCCTACCCGCCCATCCGCCTCCCATCCGCCAACACGTCTTTACCTCGCCAGTCCCAGTCTTCTCAAGTGTTTCACGACACAGTTGAGCACCTGCGGGCGCCCCTCCATCAAAGTCAATTTGCCCATCAACATTGTTGATATCCTCCACCACCAATTCCTACTTCGACAGTTCCACCCGCTGGATTTCTTTCAGTGTCATACCTCGTCTCATGTACGTATCCCACCGCCATATGACCCTTCGAACATCCATCATCGCGTCGCAACGCCCATGATCTCGCCTTTGAGACGCGATTATCCACCTTTTTATATCGCGTCGTACTGACCTTGGAACAGATACCCACCCACGAACCTCCACACCCTAAGGATCCCTAATCATTAATACAACACAACACAACACAACCATGCCTCCCGTAAGTGGACTTGTACGAAATAATAATTCTTCTTCCAAGAACTATTTACAACATACTGACTCTTCAAATAGAGCAGAGCCGCCCTTGGCCGTAGAGCCATCACCAACGAGAATGACGAGAACAGTGCAGTGGGAACAACACGGTTGACACGATCCAAATCCGCTGCATTCAGTGAGGAGTCTACGAGTGGTGCAAAGAAGCCCCTACAATCTAAGAAGGCCACGGCCAACCAACCCCTTCGAAAGCGTGCGGCGTTGAATGATCTCAGCAATGTCACCAAGGGAGAGATCGTAGAGGGCAAGAAGAATGTAGGAAAGGGAGGGCTGGTATCGAAAGCTTCTCAACCAACAGGTGTGCAGAAGAACTTATCTCGTACCAATTCTTCGAGATCAGCATTAAGCACGAAGGACACAAACAAGAAGCCAGAGCCAAAGCGTACCGGATCCGGAGTACTTGCTGGTAAGCGGAAGACCAGTTCGATATCTTCAAACACCGCGTCAATCAAAGAAGAGACCCCAGCAGAGGATGAGCAGCCGTCAAGAAAGAAGATCCACATCGAGGTTGAGGAGAAGGTAACCATTGAAGAGTCGTATAAGGAAAACCTTCATGAATCTGAAGCTGTAGAGGAATCGATCCCACAACAGTTCGCTCAGGGCGTTGAGGATCTGGACAGAGAAGATTTGGATGATCCATTGATGGTGGCTGAATATGTTGTTGAAATATTCGAGTATCTGAAGAAGCTAGAGGTCGACACGAAGCCCAACGCTGAGTATATGGAGCACCAGGAGGACCTTGAGTGGAAGATGCGAGGCATTCTGGTCGACTGGTTAATCGAGGTTCACACGCGTTTCCACCTCCTCCCCGAAACTCTGTTCTTGGCCGTGAACATCATCGACCGCTTCCTCTCCACAAAGGTCGTACAACTTGACCGTCTTCAACTTGTTGGTGTTACTGCGATGTTCATCGCGTCCAAGTACGAAGAGGTCCTTTCTCCCCATGTTGCCAACTTCCGTCACGTCGCCGATGATGGTTTCTCGGAAGCTGAGATTCTCAGTGCTGAGCGATATGTCTTGACTGCCCTCAACTACGACTTGAGCTACCCAAACCCAATGAACTTCCTTCGACGTATCTCCAAGGCCGATAACTATGATATTCAAACCCGAACCCTCGGAAAATACCTCATGGAAATCAGTCTTCTGGACCACCGCTTTATGGAGTATTTACCAAGCCATATCGCTGCTGCTGCTATGTACTTGGCCCGCAAGATCCTCGATCGGGGCGAATGGGTATGTGTTACTGCGCCTTTTTCTCTTGACCTTACTAACTGTATGTAGGATCCTACTCTGGCTCACTATGCTGGGTACAGCGAGGACCAAATCGAACCTGTATTCAAGCTCATGGTTGACTACCTTGCCCGTCCTGTCACTCATGAGGCCTTCTTCAAGAAGTATGCCAGCAAGAAATTTCTGAAGGGTAAGTTATCAAGCTCCGCCTGGTTTGGTGTAAACTGACACATTCCAGCCTCCATCCTCACAAGATCATGGGCGAAGAAGCATGCTTTCAGCCTTGGTGTCGATGTTTCTCTCCCTCTTGACATGGCCGCTCGATAAAAATGACGACGTGACGACATTCGTACATGACTGGCTCTATTTGCTCTCTGGATACTCCGAAACAATGCATTACTTGGATGGGACACGAATGGAGCTTATGATAGACAGATGACTTTCTTATGGACTCTGATCTCTATCCCTAAACATCTTGGCGGATCGTCGATCTCGCGCTGGATGATGTCCATGGATGGATGCTAGCCTTTTTTTTTTTACAGAGTTAGCTTACTGGTGCTTACTGCATTTCTATCTTGATTTTTCCATCGGTTTGGCGTTATGCGTATCTTGGAAGTCTGGAGTTTGGCTTCTTCTCTTGTTATTTCTGTGCAGGACTTCTTGTCTGAGTATTGATCAGTTGCAGAAAAGTCCCTGCCACATAACACACTTTGCCTTTGCTGGGAGAGCTAAACAGGCTGAGGGTCTCCGGAGTATTGGGGCCCCTTGTAGATATTCACCAACAATAAAATGGTCCTCTAACCTTCGTTAATCTGACTGCGACCTTCATTGTGAAGCGAACCTCTAACCTGGGATACTTCCTCAACTTGCAATTCAACTCAAGGGTAATTTAGACTGGCTGAAGGTTGCCTAGGTAACGAGAAGGTGGAAGGTTAACCATGCACGATATTCTGGACCCTGTTAACTGCTGTGGAGAAATGTTTGGTTGTGTTAGAGCTGGAGCGAACCCAACCAAGAACCGCCACAGATTTGAAGTGTGTGTTTTCCATCCAGCATATGAACAGTGTAAGCCCCTCTTCTCGTTTGGTCATGCCCAAAGAGATTTGACGGCAAGCTTAGCATTCTCAAACCAGTCGCAAACTGTGAGAAAGTAGCATCTCAAAGGTACGCTCTGTTTGAAGATCTTGGGACTTTGCCGAAGGCAAGGCAAGGTAACAAAGCCATGGGCCGCCTCACTAGCGCCTTCTCGATAAGAGCTGCATCCATCAACAAGCTCCCGCCTGTCACTGCTTCCCACGAATCACCCTGAAATCCTTCCAAGCTCTCCCCGCCCATTAACATACAAGGAGCTGAGGAAAGCAGCAAACATGTCTTTGGACCCTCCTCCATACCTCGCCTCACTCCAGAACAACATTCGCAGTCGACCTATCCCGTGGGAGGGAACAGTGAGAGCTGGCACCATTAGTGACGACCAATTGAGTAAGATCAGAGCTGTGGATAAGGTCAGGAAAGAACAGCGAAAGGATGTAGTCGAACGCGATCTTGATGGTTACCGGACGTTATTTTTGGGCGGTAATGGCAAGCCCAGCGTCCTGGAGTCAGCTGCGAAGCGTGGAGATGTTGTACAGTACATCTTGGTCCTATTGGGCGACCTGCTCGATGGTAAACATTGCATCCTTCCAGCTCAAGATAATGAGCTAACCCTAGAGCTATAGGGATACCAGCACTTGCGAAGGCGTTTTCTGAGCATCCAGACCCTTACGGCTCCTTGGTACCCCTCCTGTCCCAGTCGAACGACCTCGAGAGCCCAATTCCATTGCTCACATCGACCGTTCTCACAAGCATGATCGCTAGTGCTCCGTCATTTTCAAAAAAGGAAGCAGCTGCAATTCCCCGACTATTCACGTATCTATCGACGTTGACATCGGTGACTGATGGAGGCTTGCAAGATATCGCAGTGTTAGAATATTCTGCATTACTACGAAGCAAGAAATCGAGACACCTGTTCTGGGAGCAGAGACGGGAGACAGTTGGTCCCTTGGTCAGCATTCTGAAAGCTGCGGCTGGAGTCTCGAATGGTGACTCTGCCTCGACTCTGTGGAGCGGCGCTGCCAGCGTCCGCAGTGGGATCGAGGGAAACATTGGAGGTGGAGTCGGCCTACAACTGCTATATCATGTCCTCCTAGTACATTGGCAGCTGAGCTTTGAGGGTGCTGATGTAGGAGAAGGTCTTGATGAGTAAGTTCGGTGATCCAATTGCCATAGAACAAAGCTAATTCTAAGCAGGGAGTTCGATATTATTCCGCTTTATACCCAGCTCCTCAGACTCTCTCCAAAGGAGAAAACTACCCGACTCCTGATATCATCCCTCTATAACCTTCTCTCGACGAACCGATCTACATTACTTCCTGCAGCTGTTCTTGCTAGACTTCCTGCCCTGTTGCAAAATATCAACGGACGCCATCTTTCGGATCCCGACCTCCTAGAGGACTTGGAGAATCTCAGCGAGATGCTTGATGAGTACACAAAGACTCAGACCACATTCGACGAGTATGCTGCAGAAGTCAACTCGGGACACCTTCGCTGGTCACCACCTCACAGAAGCCCAACATTCTGGGCCGAGAATGCTCGCCGAATTCTGGAGCACGACAAGGGAGCACTGCCCAAGAAGCTTGCCGAGATTATGGGTAAGGGATGGGAGCATGACAAGCAAGTTCTTGCAATCGCATGCAATGATGTGGGATGTTTGGTAAAGGAGGTACCTGAGAAGAGATCCCAATTAGAGAAGCTGGGTCTGAAGACTAGAGTTATGGAGCTGATGCAGGAAAAGGATGAGGCTGTCAGGTGGGAGAGCTTGAATGCGTTATCTGGGTGGCTGAGGTACAGCTTCGAGACCAAGTGAATGTATCGCTGATGGGTTTGCTGTATTATCATTCACGAGCCAAAAGGTATGGGCTGGTCTAAGACTTTTCTCGCTATGTAGCTTTTCATTAGCATCTCTATTCGGTGTCTTAATGTTAGAGTAGAGAAGACCGGAATCCTTGAAACAAACCAGTTGCTGTCCCATCTTTGTTCTCGTCAATTCATTCCTACCACCAAAGAAAGAGAGATAAGAAACCCCACTTCCGGTCGTAGCCGAGAGGGCGCATGTCAACAGACGGCCTCACGAACATGTTTAAAAAGACAGCCAACAACCATCAAAATTCAACACTTAATTGACACAAAATGAAGCGTCTCAGAGCTGTATCGAGCGTCACTGACGCGATCCTACTACCGCGAGCAGCCTCACGAAGCTCGCGCACCCTCTCAACAGCTCTACACCACCACAGAACCCCTCCAACAGCCTTGTCGGCCAAACCTCACTCTCTCCACCATAACCTACGAATATTCGCACCGCCCTCCCTCACACAAAGTACACGCCACTCATCCTCCAGTCCTAGCAATGATTCTCTACGCAAGACACCCCTCTACGACCTGCATCTCGCGCACGGCGGAAAGATGGTGCCGTTCGGCGGCTTCCACATGCCCGTCCAATATACATCTCTCAGCGTCAGCGCCTCGCACCACTTCACGCGCTCGCACGCCTCTCTCTTCGACGTAAGCCACATGGTACAGCATCGGTTCTCTGGTCCGGGCGTCAATGCCTTCCTCGAGCGCATCACACCTGCTGGGATTGCGGGGTTGGAAACACATAAGAGTACCTTGAGCACGCTGCTGTGGCCTGTTACTGGTGGCATTGTCGACGATACGATCTTGACTAGATTGGGTCCGGAATTGTTCTACGTGGTCACGAATGCTGGGTGTAGAGAGAAGGACCTGCCGTATTTCAAGGAGCAATTGGAGGCTTTCCAGAGTGAGGGGGGGGCGAAGGTCGAGTGGGAGGTTCTGGAGGGGTGGGGGTTGGTTGCTCTACAGGGACCGCTAAGTGCAAGTATCCTGGGGAGATTGATGGTTGAGCCTACAGAGAATGAGTTGAAGGAGATGTATTTTGGTTCAAGCAAGTTCATCAAGATCAAGCTGTTGAACGGGGAGATCTCGAGTCCGTTGTTGGTGAGTAGAGGTGGCTATACTGGCGAGGATGGTTTTGAGATCTCTATTCCGGAATCAGAGGCTGTTATTGTTACAGAGACTCTACTGCAGAGTGCTGGCCCGGAACAACTTCAACTCGCTGGGTTGGGAGCTAGAGATAGTTTGAGATTGGAGGCTGGCATGTGCCTTTACGGCCATGATCTGGACGACTCCACTACGCCTGTCGAGGCGGCACTTAGCTGGATTATTGGGAAGGACAGGAGAGAGTCTGGAGGATTCCACGGCTCGGATATCATCCTCGGTCAACTGAAACCCAAGAGCAAAGGTGGCGCTGGTGTCGAGAGGAGGAGAATCGGCTTGATTGTCGAGGGTGCCCCGGCCAGAGAGGGAGCTGAGATTGTCAATGAGAAAGGAGAGAAGATCGGCAACATCACGAGTGGATGTCCAAGTCCGACCTTGGGAAAGAATGTCGCCATGGGGTATATCAAGGATGGTCTCCACAAGTCTGGTACAGATGTGGAGGTTGTTGTTCGAGGCAAGAAGCGAAAGGCGAAGGTTACGAAAATGCCGTTCGTGCCGAGCAGGTACTGGAAGGGAGCTGCGCCGTCATAGATATAAAAAGGTAATGCGGATGCTTTATTGTACACAAAAGTTTGTGCATGCTTAATGACAATTCATGAAATAGTTCTTTTGGTTGTTACTTTGGAGGAATGATGTCTCTCCGTTCCCATCGTCCTATTCTTGAGATAGCAATAGGTCTATCCCCAAATACTTCTTGGGATATAGTCTACGGCACCAGGACGCCATTTTTGTCATACTTGTGTGGATTTGAGTCAATAATTTACACTACATATGTTCTGCTCCTTTCTCAACTCGACCCAATTCGAAATGAAGTCCCCACGAAGTCTTCGCTCGTCCATATCAAATACATCTCGTCGAATATCAGACACAGAATCTGAGAACCCCAGATGATCACCATTTGAAAAAGAAAAAAGTGTCGCATCAAATCGACCCTAGACTACTTATCTGTCTTTGCAGAAAATGTCCTTCTTCGCCTTCAAATACCCACCATCCCAGATCCCACCTAAATCAGCACATCTTTCAAGAATTGAGCCTCGGGGTTCGCAGACCATAAGTTGGGAGAGCTATCTGCAATAGTCTCGAAGTTTTGGTTGATTCGCTTTGGCTCTACTATGAATTTAGTTATAAAAAGGTCAACTCTTTTGTAGAGGGCTGATGCAGTTGGTGGAATGTGGTGGAGATGATGAGAGCAGAAGCGCTGCTCAATCCCAAAGCGATACAGGAGTACTTTGCTTCTCAAAAAGACGAATGGGCTTTACTGCCGTGCTTATGTACCCAGATTTATATTCCCTCGGAGATTGATTCGTGCAGAGCCAAATGCCTACTTCTATTGGCTCCACTAACTCCAGCTCTCCGTTCTCGTCACTGCATGACAACTTCTCACTCACAACCTGTTGCAGCATACACTTATGCTTGAGACAGTCCAACAAAATATATCTCAAAGCAGCTACACGCTCATGGCTTCTATCCCTTCTCCATATGATCCTGAGCCGCATACTTGTGAATGAACCCAGGCTCGAAGCGAGCAGAGAGCCTTGGATGGCAAGTCGGCGGGCTCACCGGGTGAATTCTCCGAGAAGTGGACTTGTAAAACGAAACGGAACTTCAATTGTTTAACTTGGTATTCTGGGACCCGCTGAGTGTAAGCTTGGAAATGATTCCATTGCTGACTATTCAATTTCCATGTTCGCCATGCCATGCACACAGCTAATGATTATACAAGGACAGACACTTTTTTCATACCATATCCGAGACTCCTCGCAATGCTATACAATATCAGATTGACCTCCAACGGAGGACAGCAACCCATGTCTGCCCTCATGCATTTTCCCCGCGCAACCACTTATATTATAGACACATTATATACATTCTCGCAATCAGCCAGCAGTTGTTAATACATACGACGTGATGGCGCTCATTCTCTCGCTCGTAAGCTTGAGCGAAATTCGCAGCAGCTCTTGCGCGACTGCAGGCTCAGTCTTTTGCAGCTTTTCCCAGTTGTCTCTGTCCATGAGCCAGGTGACACAGTCGCGTTCGGCTTGGACAGTTGCTGTTCTGTCGGTTTCTGAGAAGAATGGGAGCTCGCCGCAGGTAGTGCCTGCGACGATGCTTTCGAAGTAGCGGCCCTGGGGCAGCTCGTAATCTGCCCTCAAGATACCGTCTTCGAGGAGGTAGAAGCCCTTCGCTTGCTCGCCACGTTCATAAAGGATCGTGCCGGCGGCATACTGTTTCTTGACGAAGAAGGGTAGACTCTGGAACCAAAAGTCTTCGTTCTTGTCGGTCAATCCTTGAAATGTCTGCAAAATCAGACGTAGTGGCTCTTTGAAGTTCAAATATCGCGATTCACCCGGAGTATCGTCCAGTGTCGTAGTGGCGGCACGGTGGAGCTGGTTTCGACGTGGTGAGCTGAACTGGGTGTCGAAAGTATGTGAAGTACTTCGTGGCCTGGTAGGAGCGTCAATATGTGGTGTTGGGGCATTGCGAATGGCGCGCGCATCTCTGCTAGCGTAAAAAGTTTTGAGAAGTTCGTTCTCGCAGCTCTCGAGCGCAGAGTTAAGGTCCTCAAACATCTTGACTTCATTCGCACCGTCTCCGACCCCAGTAGCTCTGAGACCTTTACCGATTGCACTCTCATCCCGCACGCCGCTCATGAGTAATGTAACTCCCTTCAGGCCCAAGATCCGACTGAGCCTATTGAAGGCCTCAGCAGCAGAGTAGTCAACCCCGGTAACGTGGGCGAGGTCGAATATGAGGAATCGAATAGGGCGTCGGTGGAATGCCTCCTCTTCAATCAAGGCCTTGATTCTGTCTTCTACGCTGACAATGGTGCCAAAGAATAGGTATCCCGCCAATTTAGTAACATGAATCTGTTGTCCTACGTCTCGTAGATAGCGGTACTGTGTTGGATTTCTGCGAACTGTAGATCCTGCGACTTCGCCTGAATAGGAGGCCCTGACAGCCGGGACGGTAGATGTCTGGAAGATCAAAGAGCAGAAAGCAAGCCCAATTCCGATAGCGATGCCAGCAACAAAGTCATAAAGACCCATTGCAAAAACAATCACAACAACCTGGAAGATGTTAGTAAATACATATACTGATATCAGCGGAAAGGTGGCAATATGATTCTTACTGTAAAATACTCGAGAGACTTAAGCTTCTTAAACGGAACCCATAGAGCCTCTTTTACAAGTTCAAGGCCAAGTACGAAGATGAGTGTACCGACCATCATGACTGGGATATATCCAATGATTCCAGGGCCAATTGCCATCACTCCAGCAGTACCGAGGGCAAGCATGACACCTGCCATCCGATTATCTCCACCAGAGTTGATGAAGAGAACACTGTTGGTATAGACAAGATAATTCTGAATGCTGCCTGCGAATCCCGACAAGGCGTTTGACACGCCGTGAGCCATCAATTCTCGATCAAGGTCAACATCATCTATACCGAGCTTAAACCCGAGAGATGGTACGTTGATCGGTACATGGAGGACACCGAAAAAGGTCAGGGCTAACATGGATGGAATAGTCTCTGCAACAGCACCCCAGTGAACGAGTTTGAAGTCTACTAAAGTCAGTCAAACAACCAATCAAAGGGTTAAGAGTAACCTACCGTATAGCGTGTAAAAGTACCACCAGGGCTCTCCAGCTTCTGGTCCCTCGAAAATCCATCCACTTTTTGTTAGATCCTCCACGTTTAGCTGATCTGTAGAGAAAACGAAAAAGTAGAAGACCGCTGGTATGCAAAGAATGTATATGGGAAGCAGATACTTCGAGTCATATCTGTGCTGCGCGGCAAAGAGTATGATGGCCAAAGCAAGCGGAATTATCCACAGAAGAAACGTTTCAGGCTCAAACAGCTTCTTTAATGTAATGAGGTCGAGATTGAGGTTCCCATTTAGCCCAGCACAAACCTCCAAACCTGTCATGAGTAAGAAAAGACCCACACCACCGATGCATCCGATGAGGATATGTCTCGGGATGAAGCCAACGATATATCCGAATCCGAACGACCCCATCAGGAAGAAGATCAATCCAGTGAGAACACTGCTCAGTGCGTAAGATATTATTGTCGTAGCAATGACAGCTGTCGGATTTTCTTCTCCAACACGATTCAGAATCAGGAAAGCCATCTTGTGGAAGAATGGTACGACTTCGATCTGCATGATGGACATTAATAGACATAAATTATGTGGACGGTTCTTTGACGTACCATCTCAGACCCGACTCCACCTTTAAACTTACTGCCACCGCATGAGTATACCATTTGGGATACTATACAGCTTACGTAGAACATGGCTATACCAGCAGCGCCAAGCTTTGCGAAGACGGCTTGCCCAAGAGGAAACAGAATCATTCCTACATGATCAATTAGTCCTGCGTTTAAATGCGAGAATTCAAGCCTTTTCCTCCCACGGCGGAAAGAACCCCCGACGCCATTCAAACATACCATATGATAGAGCATCCAAAATATTGAGCAAAATGCCAAGGATGACTGCCGGAAGTGCCACGACGGGTTCTTTTACCGCGTGCTGCCAAATTGCTTTTCTATCCCACGCTCTCGGATCGAGAACCGTACGGGCAACGTCGATTCCTTTCTCCCGTGGCCACATTACAACGTTCCGTAGCTTTGGCCATGCTGGTGCCCGCTTAACACTCTGTCTCTCAACGTCTTGCTCTCCGCGGATCCAGTCGGGATGATGAGCCTCGAATCTCGTATCTTTTCCCAACAGTGATGTTCGTTCCGTCGGTTCGGCATCCACACCCTTTGATGTTAGAACTGGTTGGCGTTGCCGCGGACTTCCCTCATCCCAGTTTCCATTCAGGCCCTCCGCATCCTCCCCACCTTCTTCGCTGCTTTTGGGTGGTGTGTTTGGAGGAGATCGCTTCAGCATGTCTGTAAGGGCAGAAGTGCCAGGAGCTTTGACCGAAGACGGGCTGCTCTCCGGCGACACTGGCTCGGATACTTCTTCGATGATATGGTTGTGCAATCCTTCAGCATTTCTCACTGGAGAGCGTTCGTCCTCTGTGCCTAGGTTGAAGTATGATTCGAGGGACGTCTGCGCCGGCCGCTGGCGGGGAGGGGACACGCTCCTTGCCGACGCTCTATCAGAAAGGGCATATGACGCCAATTCTGCAGTATCTTCGCGAACACTTCGAGCAGTGAATGTATTGTCGATGTGTACTAGCACGGTGTCAGTTCCTATGGAAGTCCTGAGAGTGTGACAACATACCTGGAGGGCCGCCTCGGTAGGAGAGATGTACAGACGACCTTGTTGGTTCTCGATGTCCAGAAGCTGTGGCAGCATTGAGCGTAGAGAACTGCGAAGTCTGTGTGTCTGGCCGTCCCCGGAAAGAACCATAGTTCACGTCTGAAGCTCCATCTGGCGAGGGCTCAGACGAGCCAGGAATCAGTCTTGGGCTGGAATGCGAGCCTGTAGAGGAAGCTCGCATCCTCCGAGCAGAACCAAACCCGGATTGCGATGTTGGTAACGACATATTGTAGGTGGTGTTGTCCCCAGAGTACCCCAATGGCGATGACGACGGGGGATGTATCTCAACCAGGTACTCCGCTGCGAGTGGAGGAGAGGGGAGCGGGAAGGAAATGAGGAGACAGCTGTAAGGACTGTAAGGTACTCACTCTATGGCGAGATGAAGGACTAGGTATGGAGGTAGTTAGAGAATTTGGCTGGCTCCCGTGGTGGACTAGAAAGTTAAAAGTCCAGCAGTCCAGTCCAGTCCAGGCCAGTAGTATCCAATTTGTGTTGGAGGGACTAAGTGCGGGTGCGGGAAAGATGGAAGGGAGCCAGGCTAGGAAGGACAAGCGCGACTGATAACAGAAAATGTGGATAGCATTATAAGTAGAACAGAATAAGTTATGGAGTTAAAGTAATATAATATAATTTAGCTTATCGATCGGGTCATGGAATCGGTACAGTAAATTACAGTAGCAAAGTGCGTGCAAAAGTCAGGTATGGCAAGGAAGTTGGGTTCGAAGATTGGAAGATTGAGGGTCTCGTCATTCTGGCTGGGCGATGCCCTGCCTCACATCCATGACATGGGCATGGGCATGGGCATGGGCATGGGCATGGGCAAGCAGGCCAGGCCGCAGGCGAGGCAGATGGATCATGGAACATGGAAAGGACGTTGAAGCTGGCAGGGTAGGGTAGGGTAGGTACTGTAAACTTACTGCAGGGAAGTTTTTCTTCAGGGAATACAAATATTCCCCGCTTGCATTATTAGCCTCATGCAGTGCAGTTGGACTTGCACTTGCACTTGCAGACTGCAGTTGCTGCAGGACCTCGGACGCGAAAACCTGAGCCTGACTGCCTGAGCCTGAGCACCAGCCGCTATGGCAGCCCCGCTCGACAGGGGCGGGAGGCCCTTGGCAAGTTGGCAGCCTCGCCTTGGGGAAGCTGGTGGTCATGGTCCAGCCCAGCCGCAGCCCTGTTGTCTGACTTTTCACTCAACCCAACCGTCCGCGTGGCGGGCAGAAGATGGAGGGGGGGCGAGTTTAGTTACTGTCCAGTACTCTACGAAGGAGTGGCCCATGAACCACCCAAGGCACAATTGAAGCCATTCCAATTGACGAAACCTGTTTGGAACTGAGTTCTAATTTTCACTTTTCGTTACAGCTAATTTACCTTACTGTAAGTAATGGCAACAGACTAAGTTGTCAATTAAATTACATGAGTTAATTCCGTCCCCAAGTACGGGCAGTTGGCATCCAATGCAGACGGGAAGCACGCGAACATGTCATGTCAACCAACATTGCTCATCGACCTAAGCACGTACGAGTACTAGTGCTGGACGCTGGAATTGTGCAATCAGATGTCGCCATGCTCACCACCAAATGCAGGGTACCATTTCCCAGGGAGCATTACAGAGCTGCATGTGATTCTTGACGCCATTCGAACGACTTTTCTTTCTGCATCCAATGAGTGGCGCTGAAGATGTCTGCGTCTGCCTCTAGTCGATATCCTTGGCTCTGCAACTCGAAGCTCAAAAATGCCGTTGGTGTTGAAAGCCTGTGGGTCTACCGCAGAAGCCGTTTGATGGCATCCGCATTCTACCAGAGATCACCCAATACAAAAACTCAATCACAGCACTATTTTTCAAAAGTAGATCATGAACCTATTTCTATCCTTCTGCAAGCCATAGCAGGAGTCTGAACCAGCCTCGTCGGATGGCCTCATTGAAGCATGTAAATGTACATGAAAAGTACGAGTACGACTACCCCGCACCGTGCACTCGATGCCTGGAAAATCGAGAACTGATTGAACCTGTCCTTTTCGTTTCCATGCTCGCAGTCCGATGTTGCAAGTCTAGCATCATCCATCGCCATTATTCTCTTTTACGTAGGCATGCCGAGCCTCTGTTCTGCACCCGATACCTTCCAATAAAATAATGACCTTGGTCCCCACTGCCGATTGCGGCGCTCCCGGAGGTTGCGTTGGACAGCTGAGTGCATGGCGTACTCAACTGAGCCTGACTGGCCCGCAGCGAAGTGGGCTGTTGGAGAAACAATCTTCAAGGCCCGTCATAGAGAACCACTTCTTCTCCAGTATCCTTTGAAAAATGATTGTCAAAGTAAGTTTACTTCGCTGCTGGTGGGGAAGGGAAGGCAGCTAGTATTTCAGAGGCTCCACACTGGGTTTACCAATCGAGCCTAGCTGTTTGGTCCCAAGCTTCCAACTTCACCAATTACAAGTCCTCGTCGACCCATTCCGGCCTTACTTGAGTACTCCTCGATCCTTCCCCTCTCACAAGCCCCTTGTGTGCTTCTGAATTTTCTTAGCTCCCGCAGGGAACATGTTCATCTGACCCCATTAACTTCCGGCATCAACCGTGATGGGGTCCTTTCACAGCAAGAGTCTTGGAGCGCATCTTCGCGGACGCTGTTCGTACTTCCGCAATGCTTGTCTCGACCATGTTGCCCCGCTACGATCCCCCTTCATGATTCTTTGACGGATGGTTTTATCCTATGGTTTCCACAGTGAACCACACCCAAGCGGAAGTATTCCTCAAAATTTCGCCACAATGTCTCTCAGCTCAGTTTCTGCAAGTATCCCTGTGCGATCAATCGTTCGACGTCTCCTTGGCGCACGTAAAATTGCGAGTTCTTCGTCAAATTAATGGTGCTAAGTATCCAATCAGTCAGGGACGTTGAACTCGTGGGACTTTCAATCACTCACCCATACTCCGTCTGTATCTCTCCCGCATCTTTCAAGACTCGAACATCAATAAAGAGGTCCCGTGGGGGGTCGAGACTTCCAGTCAAGTCAATGTCGGTCCATTGACCCTTGTACGCTGCTAACAGATCACTGTATTGCCTGACGTACTCTTCCTCTTCAGGACTGAGACTGCTACTATTCCCTTCTCCATTGCCGAGATCTGTTGCCCCATTCTGACCTTCATTTGCTTGCCCCCTCTGTTGTGCCGCTAGATCCGCAACATCACTACCGCTCCATACCATCTCTTCCAACTTATCAGTTCGCGTGCGGTGGTATGCGAGAAGACATCTCTTATTCCGCCGCATACAGAGATGATCCACCAAGAGGGTGCACGCCGTAGCAGGGTTCGCCGACGGCTCGAATGAGCCTTGAAATGACTGGAGTATGTTTGAGACGTCCTTATCCAGGTCTCGCACCTCTCGCGTCACGGCTCGTACAGTTTCAGTCTGGTATGGGGGAAGATGCTCAAGTTTCTGGGTCCTTTTTGCGTGTTGGACCTGAGAAGATCAGCAACAGTATCAATCATTCAGGTACAAGACTTACAAGCTTGTTGCCCAAGTCTCCGTACATGACGGAGTGAAGTAATTTGAAGGGTCGTGGATATTATCGTCAGCCTTGTGTTATGCGAGAGATTTGAATTGCTGATTGATGGATTTGAGGGCTGTGGAACAATCCGCGGCCCTGTGGTGTTGGTAAATCGAGCTTGCCGAACAGACTGATATGGATGGAATGGTAAATACAAAGTTCAGCCTTGTGGTGCAGCGAGAGTTTCGCGTCACGCGTTGTGTTTACGTAAGCACACTACGTCTCATCTGTTGTCATCAACTTCAACTTCAACTTCAACTTCACTCCACCTACAAATTGCTCCAAATTCTCAACCATTCATGTCTCGCACGGAATTTACGACAGCCACTATGATTCTCTTTGTTCTTATTCATTCTCACCGAATAGCATCTTCCGGTCCGTGATCGGCCCCTCAAGATGGTTCGGCGGCTACCTGCATGAACAATAGCATTGTGATACATCCTTGACTTTCGTGTCTTGGAACCTCTCCTAGATCAAATGTTGTCAGTGAGCAGACACATTTACTGGGCTCTTACTTCTCAAGCGGGTCGAGATGGCATCAAGCGATTTCCCTCTACAACAGGGACTTACGGACGATGACACAACGAAGTATCGAAACTCAACAAACTAAACATGATCAATGGAGTTCAAATCTCGGAGAGTTCCATTTTCGAATGACGAGATACTAGTCACTGGTTACTGGCACAGAAAGTTGTGACACTCAGCATGAGCTCAGCGCCCGACCAACCCAAGACACTAAAGGTCATTTAAGGATATCAATTACTACATGACATACCGGGGTATGAACCCAAGAGTTGTTGTTGTTACATCCAGAAGAAACGCCCTTTCCAAGATACCAAACCATGGCGATCAACCTCCAACGCCGTCCGTGCTACCAAATGCTCAAATTTCCCCTCTCTCTTTCCATCACCATATTTCAAAGAACAACAAAACTCCTGCCATGTCAAACCAAATAGTCATAACGCCATCCATAAGAATTATCTCACCAACTGCCACAGCCATACTTTATTCAACCCACTTGTTGAACTGGTCATCGTCTTCCAAGCTATCAACGTGCCATCCTTCCTGGTTGCCTCCCAAAATATGAGTATGCGGGTCTTGGATATGGGTAGCATCGTGGCTCAAGGCAGGGTCAATGAAGGGAACTGGGTCTTGAGCTGCGAATGGAGCCTCCCACTGATGATCACCGTTATGACTCTCGTTGTAGTACGAACTTGAAAAGCCATGTTCGTGCATGCTGCTTCCATCGAAGGATTGTTGATCCAAGCCCAAAGCCGGATCGATCTTGTACTCGGGTGCTGGAGATGGTTGGTATCGGTGGTATCCCATCAAATCAAATTGGCTGCCACCAGGAAGCCCAAGATATGCATGTGGACCTGGAGTTGTTTGCCGCTTGAGAACGACATCCTCAGTGTCTACGAAATTCTGGTTGCGGCGAAGTATTTGCTGGTAGTATTCTCCTTGATTTGGCATTTGATAATGAGGTGGAAGCGGACGACCGGGATTGTTGGCTTGATACGAAGACGGTTGGAAGTTGTGACTTGGCTCCATTGAGTTGTCTCTCGTTGTGTACTGGTAGGCCGAATCGGTCGTGGGGTACGCGACAGGGTGTTGAAGCATGCTGGGAGAAGCTCGGTGCCTCTTCACACTTCTTTTCGAGCTGCCATTTTGCCACTCAAAGTCGTCCAAGTCGGATTCCTCAGTAATGGGCTCCTCGGAAACCTTCCTCTTGTTTACCTTTGAAGCGCCTGGCTTGCTAGGCGAAAATTTGTATCCTGGATGCGCGTTTTGGTGGTTGATTCGCTCAATTCGAGCCCACTCGCTGTACTGCTCCTTGATATGCTCCGGCTCCAGTGGCCAGCTGTCGCCGCAAACCTGCGAAACGATCTGATGGTTGTTTTGCAGACACCAGTCTTTTGTTCGTCCTTGATATGCCTTCCTATACAACATGAACGAGTTCATTGGGCGCTTGACTTTGCCAGGCACTTTTCCGCTTTCGACCTCTTTCCTCCTCTCCTCAGCGGATCGGTTCACGTAGGCCTCGATATCAACAATTGGTAGATGATCCCAGTCCTTCGTCAGTTCACTCAGTGGCTGCTCAAGCTTTGCTACTTTCTTCTCTGCCTTCGCCTTTGCTGCTTTGCCTTTCTTTGGTTTGGGAGACTTAACGGCTCGCGATCTTCCTTCTGGCATTGGGCGCAGGTTTTGTTGACTCCTCTGAACTCCCATCCTATTTCTTGTCCGTACCATATCCCTTGAACTCATTGATGGGGTTGGAGGTGACGTTGCGGGTGTGCTATAGTGATCTTGGTACATTTGTCTGCCATAACCATCCTATCGAATGTTAGTCGGCCATTCGATGAAAGTCCATCAATCCTTACGTATTGGCTGCCCATGCCTTGATCGTATCCATAGCCTTGTTGTTGTTGATAGTATCTGTCATCTTGCTGGGGCATCGGAGAACCGTAATGCGAGTGCAGGCGTGATCCAGCGTCATAATGCTGCTCCTGCGGATACGAAGTATTCGAATTGTGTTGTATCAGGTGGTGGAGGTTGTGGGGCAGGATATCGCTATCATTCGGAGGCGGCGGAGAGTTTGACATTGCGTTGATGAGGAAGCGTTGGCGAATCGCGCCTCAATGATTTGAAGGTTCCACCTCTTTGGAAATTAAAGAGTCTGAGTTGCTGCTCCTGTTATAAGGGAGCCCAGTGGCGGCTTGAATTCTTGAAGCCTTGCTGCAGAGCGCTATGGACAATCGAAAGCCGTGCTATTGTTGGATGCTGTGGCATGAAGCTATTCACCTCCGAGCGCTCGTGGATTGTACCTGTTTGGGTTGCACGTGCCTGGCCGCTGAACAAATGGAGGCAAATGCGCGAAGCTCAGACACCTCCGTCGTCGTCCAGCGCTCTGTAATAACAGATTTTGGAGTCAAGTGAGACCAGAAAGCTCCGTTGAGGCAGAATCTCAAACTTCTGGAAGGAAATTCTAGCGGTATTCCTTTGCTGGAAGGTGGTTCATCTGAAGTTCTGGTCATTAGACTCTTGGTCCGAGAGATGAATCAGGCGGGAATGGTTTGTCTTTACACTCCGCCCATCCAGTGTCAGAAACTTTAGTACGAACCTACGGCGCGCACCCGTCTTTCAACTGTGGGACCTGTCCCCAGCAGACCAGATATTCTGGAACGGCAGCGATGGGCAAGTGGGATGCGAGGTTCCAGAGTCTAGTGGCCCCTGACCGCAATGCCGCAATGCTGAGGCTTCTCTGGTCTTAGAAAATGTTTCTTTGTCGGGATGATGTATCAACCAAAGGAAATCTTGCTGAAGCACTGACTGGGAATCACTGCGTCCTCGCAAATATGAGGTGGTCTTTGTTTTGAAGTCGTAGCTTAGAAGAAAGGATTTCCAGCTGGGCTTTATGTATTTGAGAATCCGACTTCTTGAAAGAAAGTGGACGAATTAGGTGATTTTGGCGAGGGAGGGTGCCTCTGCTTTCGGCCAACCACTGCTTCCGTACATATGCGGCTCACAACCACACCTGCGAGCATAATCGGATTCTAAACACCTGTAGACAAGCACACGAACGCGATTCCAGTATAGCAAACTCCAATTTCTGCTTTATGAAAAGATCACGAAAGGTGCAGCTGGGCCAGTGAGATTCAAACGTGCACGCACTGAACGTCCACAGTCCTTGGGAGCCAAGTGGTCCAGTACCACAAATCACGATCTACATCTCTGACCCGGGCAAGACATGACTAGTAAGATTGATGGACTCCCGTCGTCGAGGCTTGAAGTGAGTCCAAACAGACAGCGGTGGCGCTCTCCATTTGAGGTCTTCCAATGCTTGATGGTCTCTTCGGCCCTCTCCACCAGTTCGCGCACCTGCAACTTGCAGTGTCATATCCAAGCCAGCATAGGTCGGATCTGCAGTGCTTCTCGGTCGCAGCAACCGGCAGCGAGGAATGCTTGCAGGTAATGGTGAGGTTACACATATATACCTCCTTGACTGCTCGCTCCTGGTCGTTGTTGCTGTTCCTGGCATGAGGAATGGGTAGAGCGCAACCGCCACATGAGCACCCTGTTCAGCTTTGCCGCTTGTTAATTTCCACCCTTTCTACGATTGCAAAAGAAACGATGGCCAGGAAGAATACATTGCATCGCATTGCGGTATTGCACCAGTGCAATCAGACATGTCTAGGATCTAGCTAAGCACCAACAGCCAACCCGACCCAAATGTATTTGGTGCCAGCGTACGCTGCCCGGAAACATGACCGCCTGCATCTGCCGCGCAGAAACCCATCTCCCACATCGAAAGATGCCTGATACTTTGGTGGGAAGTGAGCTATTAGGTCAACAGAGAGTGTCCCTTGTTTCCTCGCTCCATTCTGACTGGCCGATTGGCTGGCCGGTGCTCTTCGGCTCAGTACGGGTGAGAGACGCCACACCAACGTGACCCCAACGGCTACGTGCAGTAGTGGCCCAGCTTTTGATGGCTCGCAGCGAGATCGTTTGAACCTCCGTATCATGCGAGTGTGCTTGGGGCTTTGATCTTGATTCTGACTCCGTTGTGAATGGCGTAGGTTTTGGTTTTGCTGTAGGGAGAGACTGTCTATCACTACCTACCTGACCAAGTGATTACCCAGTGATGACAAGTGAGATGTGAACTCACGCTGGATACATTGCTTTGTGTTGAACGATATCTTCAGAAACTTCAGCCCTTCTACGGCGATAAGTGATTGACTTAGTAACGCTTCACCGTTTGACGGCAATTCAATGTCGTCTGTGCTCTATCCGCGTGGTCTATCTTTCAAACCCTCCTGGTCTTCCTCTTGAGGAATAACTAGGCCGCGACCGATCTGGTAACAAATGGAGTGTCTGATGTCCGTTCGCTCATTGCCCACTGCTCCAAACGTTCACACATGGGCTTGCATCAATCTCCATGCCGTACCCCATAATCCTATAGCTCCTCAAAATCCCTTGCTTTTCCTTCCCGCCTCTAGCCTACTATGTCCTTTCTTCCCGTCCAATCACTTCAAACTTCTCAGCCCTTCAACCCTTTCAAATGCAGTCTCGTAAGGCTCACGTGTCATGCATCCGCCCAGCTCCGCATCTTTAGCATCCGGCTTTCTGGATTGTGCCCTCGTACAAGGACCAGTATGCGTCTGCGCTTGCATTTGACACGGGTCGGAGGCTACTTCTACCAAGGGATTATCCCGTCTGGAGGGATCTACCGTTTGCTCTTTAATGTCCATATCTGTCGGTGTGTTTATATATGTGGTGATGCATGCGGGCGGTATTTGGTAGGTAGAGAAGGGAGTACTGTGGAGGGACGGGATGAGGTGCATTCTTGGGGGTCAAGCGGGACAAAATGATGGAATGTGCCGACGAGGGATGCTCTGAACTGATATTCATCTGACTTGTAGAAACCTTCCGCGATGGTATTATGAATTTCTCCCGACATCGCCTCGCATCTGTGGAGAGATAGTGAAGTTTGGGTGGAAAGGAGGAGATTATGCAAACGAAAGTGCCTTCTCGACAAAATGCTCACATTACGTCACATATCCCACATCACTCACAATGTAGCACAGCACAGCATAGCATAACAGTGCATGTAGGCAGGGAGCTTCACAAATATCCTCTATTCATTGGCCCGTAGCAGTACATTATTTAATACATTGGTTTGTTTATTCCGCCTCTATCATCAATGGTACCCACATTCAATTATGCAAATGCAAATGCAGGCAAGACGGTCTATCGCTCACATCCTTCAATCAAACGATCCATCCCTTTCTGATACCCACTTCACCGAAACATGCAAAGGAGTGTTATGTTTCTTTCTTCTCCTTTCCACAAGAGAAGCAAAGGCCCTAATTCGTCGCATTCATCCTGGCGGCTTGCCCGCCCGCCTGCCTGTGCTTGCCTCATCATTTAAAGGAAAACATATCGCTGAAGACCAAACCATCATGCAGAATAAGGAGAAAACGTAGACATCCATACAAAGAGAAGTTAGATCTCATGAAGACTAACATGCGGCTTTTGATACAGCCCTTCATTGGGCAAAAAGAAAATGTACTGATCATTTGCGTGCAAAGCCTCTTGACAATGTTGACATTTTTCAGGAGACCTTTGTGAATCTTAGATTCGTATTGCAGTTTCATTGACCTGCAATCTGGCCGGTGGGTCTTGGACCATCAGCTGGCTTGATTGGCGGAGAAAGATTCTGGTGCTGGGGACTTGGTGATAATGAGGCAACTGGTGGTAGGATCGAGGGAGTAGCCGAGCCAAAGCTTCCATTCGACACTGGGCGAGGAGGTGAATGTTTGGTAGGAGACAGGCCAGTTGCGGCGGAGGGTAGTGCAGAAGCGTGACCTGAGTCTATTGTAGTTGATAGCCCTTGGGAAGATGGACGAGGAGGAGACGACTTGATGGGTTCTGTGGCTGTGGTGCTGTTTGTAGGTGGACTATTTGAAATAGGTGCCATTTGAGGAGGCGGCTTATTGCTCGGGGTGAGGACTGGTACACCTGCAAGTGGTGACGGAATGTTGAATGAACTACGACGGTGACCACTGTCACGGGAGCCCGGACGAGGTCCATTCATCATGTGAGATGAGGAGGCTGTTCCGTAAATATAGTTGCCTGAGTTCGATGGAGTACCCTGAGCCTGAAAGTATCTGGCAGGTCCCGGCTGCCCTGGAGTGTAACGCGTTGTCTGGTTTGGCGATACCTGCTGTGAAGCGCCACCACTTACAAATGTAAACATCGGCGGCTGCCCTGGCGGGGGTAAGCTGGTTGGACTGTGTGGATGCGGCGACGAGAACGCATGTGAGCTTGCTGGTCTCGAGGAGCTATATAGATGTTGAACTGGGGTGCCAGTGTTGACTTGAGGTGGCCCGTAAGGTCCAGAATAGCTGCCGTTGGACGTGGTCGAGTTGATACGCTGATCTGGGCGTTGAGGAGAAGACTGATAACCATTGCTTTGAGGAGGTTGCAATACTGGTTGTCGTTGCACGGGAGTGTTCTCCAAAGACGGAAATCCAGGCTGAAGGGTCGGGAATCCATTCTGTCTCGGGAACTGTATGGGCGACACGTGAACAGCAGGGGAAGAATATCCGGCCTTCTGGGGTGAAGAGCCAGGATTCGCGTTTCCATTGGTATTGGTAATGGCGGCGGGGGACCCGTTCTGCTTGGACTTTGCTTGTGAGGAAGATGACCCGGGGCGAATCTTGATCTTGATCGGGGGTTGATTCTTGGCTCGTTCAGCATCCTCCGCACGACGCTTGCAAGTTGTGCAAATGAATGTAAAATCCTCGCGATCCGCCTCGGCTTCCTTAACACCCACACATTTGCTATGTTGCCATATGTTGCATTTATCACATGCTATACTGTGAGTCCCATCATCAATCTGACCGTAAGCTCCGCATATACAATCAAAGATCCAGTCCTCTTCCTCTTCGAGTTCTTCAAGAGCCTTCTTCTTTCGTTCGATCTCGGCCTTGATGTGACGTTCTGAAAGTCGGCCTTCTCCAGCCTCAACCTTCTTGCTATTGTCCGACAGGCTGGCGAGCTCTTCCTCATGGAGAATGCGGCGCGCATCTCGCTCTCTGAGACGCTGCTCACGGGTTTGCATCCTGGATTCCCTTTCCTTTTCCAACTTCTGCCACTTCTCCTGTTCCTTCTTCGCCATTGCAATCTCCGCCGCCTTCTTGCGCTCGGCTTCGCGCACCTCCTCTTCGTGTTTCTGTTGCTCTATTTTACCGGCAATTCTGCTCGATCTTTTGGCAGTCGCAAGCTTCTCAAGGTTCAAAAGCTCGCGTTCCTTCTGTGCCTGCTTTCGTTTCCTGGACTCCTCTTGTTTCTCAAGTAATGGCAGGACATCATCAACGATTCGCTTCCTCAAAACCTTCTCGTTGGCATCCCGAGTCTTGTCCAGCGAGGCCGTGAAGGCATTGAACTCGTCTAGAGTCACGGCAATACACTCCCATACCATTCCGCCAAAGCCATCATCTTCCTTCTCGACTATACCATTGTCCTCGGGCTCGGCATTGTCGGCCTGTTCGGTTTCACTCTCAACTGTCTCGGAAACCTTTCTGCGTTTACTTGCTCGACGAGAAGCTTTCCCCTTCTTGGTGTTCTTCTTGGGCTTCGGGGCTGGAGGGGGTGGGGGAGGATCCGTACGTCGATATAGGCGGTTATCATCAAGTACTATATATGTCCGATCTTCAGAGTCCCAACCAAAGGGCTCAATTCTCTATTTCCACTGTTAGCCCCTTGCCGTAAGATATCTTCCTGTGGCATACCCATAGTGTCTGCTCAGTATCCTTTTGTTCCTCCATTCGCTCTCGAATACGATCAGGGTTACCCATAGTCCATATTGTAAGTTGCTGTAGAACTCGAATCTGAGAAGTGTGATTAGTCTCATATTTCCTCCTCGCCATCTCCATGATATACCTTTTGGAAGACATCGAAGTCCTTGAAACCCTTGGGAACCTCCTCAACGCCAAAAGGATTTCGTTCTGGTGCTTTTGCAACATATTGTCTGCGAGTATACTCGTCGAAAATCTCGGGGCTTTGTATAGTCAGATATCGACAGGAAGGAATAAAAGCAACATAATACATACGTAAGGCCTCTGTGGGATGACACAAATTTAAGAAGCGCGAGACCGATCTCTGCCAGTAGTGTAGAGTGAGGCTTCAGGCATTCCATTTCCAAGTCCTACAAGGTATAAGTATTCGAGCTGTGATATGGACAGCGATTTAAGGAGATTGTGAGAGGAAGTCGAACCTCGATATCCAGATTCTCATCGATCTTCACCGCTCGGCCGAATGTGAATATCCATTGTGCCAAGTTGGCGAACTCCCACATATTTCGAATGCGCTCCAAGAGACTGGGTTCTTTCGGGGGCTCGACATCTTCCATCTCCTGTCGTCCTCTCTTCCTAGACGAGACCATCTTTGGAAGTGACCTCACAAGATCACCCTGAGCTATCGCGATCCAAGCAGGGTGCTCTGTAGGTAGAATAGTAGGCACGAAATCATCCAGCACGCTCGGGGCTGGAGAATGTGATGTTGTAAAGCAATGCTATCGCAGGTGTTGAGTTTGCGCGTTCTCGTGGTTGTTCAAATTTCTGGAGATTGAGGGTGGACGCGACACGATCAAGCAGCGTGAGCGTGCTCTGGGCAAGCACTTTTCAGAAGATGTGATTATATAAGCAGATTCGTATCACATGTAGATAAGGATGACTTATCTGCAGGTGAGTCGGAAGTCCTTGGCGACACCTAGGACAATGGACTCAGGGGCAGATTTACGAATTGTGGTACAGTACGGTAGGTAGGTAAGGTAGGCACTGCACTGTGCAATAGCTCAATAGTGAATACCTACATAGGTAACGGCATATGTAGGTACTTAACAAGGCGAGTATATTCCATTCCATACCATCATCACATCGTAAGGTAATGTTCCGGTGTTGTCACAACAGTATCAATGCCCTGGAGCGCCTCCTATCACATCGGTACATCTACTGTAACATGCATCTAGATAATTTACATCGTTAGCAGGGTTGACTTTGTTGCCATGCCTTGCAAGTTTCACAAGCCTGTATTTTTTGCGTCGCTCTTTCAGACCTACAGGCAATCCAAAACTCTTCCGTTCCTTTTGCTCTAGTACCTGTACATCTCCTCTCCTCTCCTCTCCTCTCCTCTCAACGACTTCGTGCTACAAAACTGGAAGGTGCTCCCGTCTTGTACTGAGGTACGGAAGGACCTGATCCCTCAAGTCAGGGGGTTCAACGGCGTTGGCGTTCAAGACCTGACATCCCACCTCGCAGCCACAGCCACAGCCCTGTCCCAGAATAGAAATCCCCGATTTTCAACATCCCGCAAGCCACTAAGATCCCCTACAGTACAGTAGACTCAGTAGAGCCTGGATCTCTCGCAGCGCGGCAGCGCCAGGCCCGCTGTCCATCCCACTCGTACCCGCTAAAGTTGCCGTTGCGGTCCGGCTGCAGTTGGACCAGACCGGACCCCAGGACAGACTGCGACCAGAAAGAGTGAGAGATGTTACAGATGCATTTCAAAGTCAACGTCAACTTCGTCGCCGGTCCTGCTCCAGCAAACAAACAACTCTCGTCATTCGTTTAGTCCCCCCACCGGTGAAGGATAGAAGCCCGTTTCGTTCCGCTACTTGTAATTTCACATGCGAATGCGACCTTGATCATGGCGACCTGACAACAGCGCAGACTGTGCGCTCAGTGTTTTGGTTGTGGCGTCTTACGCTCACTGCGCTCAATACGATAAACCTCGATTCGAACATATCGCGACGTTAATACAGCGAGACCTACGGGTCCGTGGCATAGGTCACAATGCCCCCTACAAACTCTCAAGATCCTGCGCACCCTTCCACCCCTCCTCAGTCGATACCTTTGCGAGACCTTACACGCCCACCCGATTCTGCCGATATTGGAGATGGGGAGAGACGGCATACGCGTGGAAGAAGCTTGTTGAGCGGTGGTTCGAGGCCGACGAGTGGAGGAGGACCTGGGCCTCGGTATGAGAGATTGGGGAATAGCTCCCCAAGTCCAATGGAAAGAGAGAGCCATCGTGGTACATTGCCAGCCTTGACAGTACCAACGCAACAACGACGAGTGGGAGAGGATGAGATTGGTACGCCCGTATCGCCGGTTGGGAATCCTGGGGATTTTCAAGCTGCAATGGGATTTGCAGGCCTTCTGGTACCAGATATCAGTGTTTCGCACGCTCCACGACCACGTACTCCTTCATACGGATCTGCAGACTATGACCATTTCGACTCTGTGTCGCCTTATGGTGATGGAATGGACGAACATCAGAACTCATACTTTCCTTCAGAGTCTGATCAAGTCCCTTTGACGGATCCCACTTCACTACAACCAATGAGTGGCGCACAAGTATCGACTCCTGGCACTCAGCGACACGACAGAACACGATCTAGCTTCCAAAGTGTCAGATTCAATACCCCAGAGTATCGAAGGGGATCCAGACTGGGAGATGATCTGGATGATCCAGAAGCAGCAATTCGGTCAAGGGGTCATAGCTATGGGAACTCATTGACTCCTGACGGGCGAACCAGGTCACGCTCGCCATCAAACGCATCAGGTGCCTTGTCTAAAGCCGGATCCATAGTCAGGGCAATGTCCCAACGTGTGGTCAATCTCAGTGGTGAAGCGGAGCTTATTGAGGCAAGTGCTCGTCGAGAAGCACGAAGGGCATCCGAACAGGCCAGGCAACATAGCACACCAGAAACCGTCGATACCATAGGAAGCTTAAGTGACGAGTCTGAGACTAGATTCCAGCCCAAGCACAAAGCAGATCCGTTAGCAGCAGGCCCAAATTACCATCAGAATCTCCCAACTGCACCTGTTGAGAAAGCCATGCGATTTTTGGGCGGAGCCCAGCCACAGGAGAGTTTCGAGCAAGAGCCAGAAAAGCCGCCAAATCCATTACGAGGCAAGACGCTTGGGATCTTCTCTCCCGAGAGCAAGATTCGGAACAAGCTTTGTGATGCACTGGTTTACCCTCTAACGGAACCTGCAATCTTGATCCTTATTGTTATCCAGACCATTCTACTCGCAGTTGAAGCCTCAAAGAATGTGTATACTAATCCTCGGCCGAGACGTTGGGGCGAATCGTTGATCGACTATGCCATATTTGGGCTTTTTATCGTGTTCACCCTCGAACTTGTTGCCCGTATTATTGTATCTGGGTTCTTCATGAATGCTCCTGAATACAGCACGAGAAAAAATAAGAGTGGGCTTAAAGCCACCTTTTTCGACAAATATCACGCTGTCTTCAAGCCTCAGAGAACTTCATCACTGAGAACCCCGCGAAACCCGTCTCTGGGAGGTCAGACTGTGATTCGGTCATTCACTGCAATCCAGGGAGAGTCCATACGTACAGTCGAGCAGGCCCAGCGTTTGCAGCTCGCCAGACGTGCTTTCTTGCGACACTCCTTCAATAGGCTTGACTTCTTGGCTGTGGTCGCTTTCTGGATTGCGTTTGTTATGAGCATAAGTGGATACGAAAACTCTTCTCATCTTTATATATTCCGAATGATAAGCTGCCTTCGTATTCTCCGACTGTTGGCGCTCACAAACGGCACGGCGGTAAGTATAGCACCTATTGTGAGTGACTGTGCTGATTGATTCTTAGATCATTTTGCGAAGTTTGAAGAAAGCAACACCGCTGCTCGTCAATGTGTCATTCCTTATTGGATTCTTCTGGCTCTTGTTTGCTATCATCGGTGTCCAGAGCTTCAAGTCAAGCTTTGATCGTCAATGCGTGTGGATTGATCCAACAGACCCCAAGAACACGACTGGTACAGCGTATACACAAGTTCTGCAGTTCTGTGGTGGTCATTTGGATAACGCCACAGGAGACCCTCAGCCATACCAGATTGGGTATCCGGACAATATCAGGAATGGCTCTGCATCCTCCAAGGGCTACTTATGTCCTCGTGGGTCATTGTGTCTCGAATTGACCCCGGATAAACTTCCTTATAATGGGACCGTCAGCTTCGATAACATCTTCCAGTCATTAGAGCTTGTATTCGTCGTTATGACTGCCAATACATTTACGGATCTGATGTACTATGCAACGGACTCGGACTATCTTGCGGCAGCACTGTTTTTTGCTGGAGGTATTGTGATCATGACTCTCTGGCTTCTCAATTTATTGATTGCCGTCATCACTTCCTCATTTCAAGTCATTCGAGAAGAAGGAAGAGCCAGTGCCTTCGCAGCTCATATCAAAGACATGCTTCCTTCTGAGAAGACCGATGCGCCAAAACGACATAGCGCGTTAAAGCGAGTGTATAACAAAACATACTGGTTCTGGATTGTTGTTATTTCTTACGGACTTCTCTGTCAGGCATTTCGCAGCTCAAGTATGCCTCCAGGGAGGGAAACTTTCATCGATAACTCTGAAATTGTGGTCACTTTCATCCTACTGGTCGAAATTATCATTCGATTTGCTGTGGATTGGCGAAACTTCTTCCAGGTAAACAAGAACCTTTTTGATCTCGGCCTTGCGATCATCACTACAGTCATTCTAATACCGCCTATCCGAAATTCCGGCCAGCCATACGCTTGGCTCACTGTCTTTCAGATTCTCAGGATATACAGGGTAATTATTGCGGTTCCAGTTACCAAATCGCTGATCACACTGGTGCTGGGAAATTCAAAGGGTATTGGGAACCTCATGCTCTTCGTTTTTCTCATCACCTTTTTGATGTCGATATTTGCAGTCCAACTCTTCCGAGGCGAGCTGACAGAGACCGATCCATATGGAGACACGATCGAAATTACGTTCTTCACTATATACAATGCTTTTCTGGGCATGTACCAAGTCCTTTCAAGCGAGAATTGGACCACGAATCTCTATAACATCACGGCATTCAACACTGCTCGAAACACAGCCTGGATTGGAGCAGTGTTCTTCATTGGATGGTTCATTCTGTCGAACTTTATTCTGGTGAATATGTTCATAGCTGTCATCCAAGAGAATTTCGATGTCTCAGAAGACGAAAAGCGAATGCACCAAGTCAAATCTTTCCTAAATAGAAAGGAGCTAGGCAGTAGTTCCAACAACCTGTCCCTATCGGCACTATTTCGATTCGGGCGGGCTAGGTCAACCAAGGATCCTCTTGACTATGGACCCGCAACTATGGAAATGTTACTCAAAGATGCAGTTGTGAAAGATTTTCTGGATGATGAAATGCTCAACGACCCTGACCCGTCTGCAGCCAACGCCACCCCCGTGGAACCGGCTCCTGCGAATTCTAAGAACCCGTCGTCTCTTTGGAGCAAGTTCAGGAGCCGAATTTGGAATCGAGAACCAAATCCATTTTATTCCAACATACAATTTTCAACCCGCTCTGATGAAGCAATCGATGCGAGAACTCTGGCAAAAGAAGCTGTTTCTGCAACTTCTCAGCGCAAAAAAGCACAGCGGGAGTTTCTGGCACGCCACCCAAATTACAACAATGCTCTGTTTATCTTCACGCCTTCAAACCCAATCCGTCGCCTCTGTCAGAAGATCGTTGGCCCTGGTCGAGGTAGTGAAAGGTTTGGTGGTGTCGAACCGAACACAGTTGTCTGGTACACCTTCTCTGCGTTCATTTACATGGCTATTGTGGCAATGGTTTTACTTGCATGCGTGACTACACCGCTCTACCAGAAAGAATACTTTAAAACTCACACCTTTGATGTGAGAAACTGGTTCGTGTGGGCAGATATGGCATTTGCCATTGTCTTCACCGTCGAGGCTTTGATCAAGGTCATCGCAGACGGGTTTTTCTGGACGCCGAATGCATATTTTCGGAGCTCATGGGGTGCGATCGATGGTGTTGTATTGATAACATTCTGGATTAATGTTATCACATCTCTCTCTAATGACGGAGCAGTATCAAGAGCCGTAGGAGCATTCAAAGCACTCAGAGCCTTGAGGTTGCTCAACGTCAGCGACAGCGCTCGAAATACGTTCCATTCCTTGATCATTATCGGAGGTTGGAAGATCTTCTCCGTATGTTATCAAGATGCTTACGTGGCCGATTTTTACTGATTTTGACCTAGGCTGCATTTGTTTCTCTATCCCTCTTGATACCTTTCGCTCTGTACGGTGTGAATCTATTCAACGGCAAGATGTTGTCATGCAATGATGGGGGCAATGCTATCATCAGCCTCACAGACTGTTTTGGCGAGTTCACCAACACACCTTTCAGTAATGACTGGCCTATCCTCATGCCCAGAGTTGTATCCAATCCTTTCTTCGACTTCGACAATTTTGGAGGATCTCTTTTCATTCTTTTTCAGATTGTATCCCAAGAAGGATGGACGGACGTGATGTGGAGTGCTGAATCTATTGTTGGTCGTGGACTGCAGCCTCAAGACTATGCCTCTCAAGGCAACGCACTCTTCTTCGTCATCTTCAATCTGCTCGCTACTGTCTTCGTACTCACGCTGTTCATCTCGGTGTTCATGCGCAATTATACCGAACAAACAGGTGTGGCATTTTTGACCGCAGACCAGCGATCATGGCTCGAGCTGCGAAAGTTGTTACGACACGTTTCTCCTTCCAAACGGCCTTCCAGCACTGATGGAAATAAGTTCAAGGACTGGTGTTACAAGCGAGCAGTCAGGAAATATGGACGTTGGCAACGTGCTGTTACAATCGTCCTTGTGTTCCATCTCATACTCTTGTTAGTCGAATACTACCCTGAACCAGACTGGTGGGACCAGATCCGAACTTACACCTTCCTGGCATGCACACTCTTCTACGCAGCCAATATCATCGTACGGGTTATTGGACTTAGCTGGGCAAGATTCAGACGAAGCTCCTGGGACCTCTTCTCCATGGTCGTTGTATCTGGCACACTCGTAACCACAACTCTACTCTTGACTAGTTTCAGTAGTCAAGTCTACATTCAGCTACATAAGCTTTTTCTGGTTTCTATCGTTCTGTTACTGATACCACGGAACGATGCGCTAGATCAGTTGTTCAAAACGGCAGCTGCCAGTGTCGCCAATATTGGGAACCTGTTGGCAACATGGTTTGTCCTATTTCTGGTATTTGCAATTGCTATGACGCAGACTTTTGGTCTTACCAGATTTGGGGAGAATGGGAGTGACAACATCAATTTCAGGACTGTCCCAAAGGCTTTGATCCTTCTCTTCCGTATGTCCTTCGGAGAAGGTTGGAACGCTATCATGGAAGATTTTGCTACAATCAAGCCTCCCCTTTGTGTCGACAACCCCAGTTTCTTCAACAGTGATTGTGGCAGCGCCAGTTGGGCTAGAGCTCTGTTCATTCTCTGGAACATCACAAGCATGTATATCTTCACCAGTTTATTCATCTCTCTCATCTATGAGAGTTTCAGTTACGTCTACCAGCATTCGAGTGGGCTTGGGAAAGTTAGCAGAGAGGAAATTCGACGCTTCAAACAAGCCTGGGCAACCCTCGACCCTGAAGGGACGGGATACATTACTAAGGACCAGTTCCCTAGATTGCTTGGAGAACTTTCTGGAGTATTTGAAATGCGGATTTACCCACAAGAACACTCCGTTCGCAGGATACTCGAAGACATCCAACCAGAGCAGAATTCCGGGAGAGTGATGTCCATGTCATCGGCAAGCGCAACTGCCACCGGTGTCAATGTCAGAGCATTAAATAAGAGACTTGCCCAGATTGACCCGCAGGCTATCCAACGGTCTCGAGCTCGGTACAATCTGTTCTTTGAAGAGGTGATGGTGTCAGCCGATGTTGATCGCGGCATTTCATTTACAACCGTGCTGATGATTCTGGCACATTATAACGTAATTAGTGACAACAAGAGTCTAAAGTGAGTACTGTGGTAAAAATCCCTGCTCGTCGCTGACCATTTTCAGGTTGGAAGAGTTTTTGCGTCGACGTGCGCGCCTTCAGAGAGTTGAAGAAGAAGTGCGAAGACGGATCGTTCTTGGCTTCTTTGACACAATGTGAGTAGTTTGCGTTCCTCAACAGGATGTCATTTCTAACAGTGTCAGGTACTGGTCGAGGAAGTTCAGGAAGCATCTGGAGAGAAAGAAGTCTGGTCGTATGACTGACATCCCGCAATTGGGTCCAGAAGTTTATATTGACGATGAGGCGGACGTCGCTGCTAAACAAGCGAGAACCACAGTCTCGCCACTCCTCTCTCCAATGGAAATTGCTGACCCTCGATCCTCGTTCATTGCACACGGCTTGGATGGCGCCGCCAGGCATAGGAGAGGAGGGTCTTCTATCTCTGGTCCATTATCGCCTGGAACTCCAGGAATGTCATCTGGGTTATCTCTTGGAGTGTCGCCCAATGGATCTCCGCGAGCATCCCCACAACTATCACCTCACCGCCCAACCAATTCAGCATTCAGCTTTGAGGGTGGCGAGCTTGGTGGAGGAGCTGGGGGAGGCTCCGGGCAAAGCAGCAGGCGGGGCAGTGCAGTCAGCGCAGAGAACGTCCTCGACGTACTCGACAACTCAGCCTGGGGAGAAAGTATCCGGCGGAGTTTCACGTTGAGGCGACCAGGCGATCGACCAGGTCGTGGAGGTAGTGTGTCCTAAGCGAGCCTGGGGCGGGTTTGAGAGCGATGTGATGAGCACAGGCTCTTCGTATGTTTATGTGGGGATTTTCAGGCAGGAAGGTTGCTTGTCTTGACTTGGATTTTCTGCCGACGACCGTGCGAAAGGTCGTCTGTCGCATAATGGGTTTGGGAGGCGCAGGCGTGGCGTTTTACGGGACGCATCATCATGATTTTGTTTCGATTCCTCGTGTTGGCAGATCAATGGATAGATGGGCTGTACGACGTAACTTTTGGGGGGGAGGCATGGCACTGAATGGCAGTGATGATGATGAGCTTTTGGCTGTATTATTGGATAGAGCATGTCGATAAGTCGATGGGATGGATGAATGTGTTTTATATGCATAGCCAGGGAGTTTATAGAAATGTATTGAGCAGAGACAGTCTGCTTGTAATTTAATCACACCTAGAAACCTGTAGTACCATATTGGCATTCAACTGGGGCAATCATCCAGAGAGGGATATAAATTGCCTTCGTTCCCCGGCGGTATTGGTCTCATCTACAGCATATCGGTTCCCGTCTTGGATGCCCGCATCATTCAACAAGTGCGAGTGATTCTCAGATGCTGGTGATACGATGACTCGATGAGCTGGGCATGAAAAGCTACACCTTCAGAATCTGCAGCTCACCACTTCGAGTCTTCCTAAACTCACGTCCGTCCTAGAGAATCCCGAAAGAGTTCTTGACAGTGCGGTCCAAGCCCAAGCATCAGTGCATCACGACAAATCTGCAGGCGAGAAATGTCCTTGGCGGTGTCACCCCCTTGTCTGCATCCCAGCACCCCCGCGGCAGAACCACCACAACGTCCCGCCTTAAACCCAATGCAGCGAGCAGAGCCCGGTGCCGGGACACCGCTTCATCAGCTTGAAACTTGTTCGGTCCTGGGAGACTTAGGTGAAGCTGGGTCTTGGGAAGAGCACGAGGCACGAAAGAGTGGAAAGCATTTTGGTGGGTGCGGACTGAGAATGGATGGTCGAGCCGGTGCTGTTTGATATTCGTGGAGATGGGCGCAGGCCGCTGATCGATGGCCAGGGAAGGGGAGAAGGGTTCATGCCGGTCGGGTTTGAGGTCGGTGGAGGGGCAGAGAGGATTCATTTTGGAGGTGATGATGATGTGCTGCCATAGACTCACAATTGACGGTTGAGGGGGAGATCAAGGGTTGTTTCTGCACTCTTGGTGATGGGTGATGAGCATGTGTTGTCTCGGACTTGCTTGCTGATCATGTTCTGCCTGCCGTCATCAAGGGTTCGCACTGTATTGGAATTTTGGACTTTGGACTGACAGCGGTTGATACAGTATCGAGAGGAATGCAGTCCTCCGGGTCCTGCATGCATTCAATATCTGTCCACTGTAGTCCTTGCTCTGCAGGTGATGCCACTGGAACTCCAAGTATGCTGCTCTTGTGAGCTGATGGCTTGGATGTGGTAAGTTCTGGGAGAAGACTAGTTTAGTTTGCATTGATTCTAGAAATATACTCAGCAATGCGAAATGGAATGTGTTCGTCTGGACAACAATAGCTGGCCGCCAAATCGGTCGTCATGCAGTACAGTAAACAATCCGGCCCGGCTGCGTGGCACCACCAACACCAAGGACCCTTGGTCGCTGCCCTGTCTCCTGTCTCCTGTCAAGCCTGTCTGTCTCTCTCTCTCTCTCACTCAGAGTCCTGGTCCATATTATTGTACGAGTATTTGCCCTTGTCCACTGCAAATCCCACACATCTCATTGCCTTCGCCCGCCCTAGCAACATTCTACCTAGGCTTGCCCCTGATCGCCCTCGCTTGTTTTCAACCCCTCGTCTCCGAACTTCGTCACCCTAGCATCTGCCCTCCAACACCCTCAAACCCCTTAAGTCGTGCCCTACAACATCGTGTTTTCAACTTTTCACAGGCAGAGTCCCTGTCTGTCTCCCATACCTTGCTCTCTTCGGACTCTTTCGGTCTCAACTCTCAAAGACTTGTAACGCAGAAAGACGCCACCTGGACGAGCTGGAGTCACCAGGGCATTGTCGAAGGCAAGGAACTGCCAGGCAAGACGCATTAATATTCAAGCAGACCCCCTTCCCACACTTTCGTCGATTATTGCATTCTCAGATTCTGTTCTTCTTCCTGGCAGCGCCACCTTGTTCCTTTCCCCTTTCTCGCCTTTACCTGCCCGTTGTGTTACTTCTACCCCTACATAATTCCCTCCGTAATCAATCTACCTACCCTACCCTTTCTATTTGCGGCCGTCCGTCGTCATAGCGTCCCTTGACACTTACTCACACTTAAGTACTTGAGTCCGCTGGCACACCTTCGGATTGATTGTTTCTCTGGAATAATAAGGTGTCGAGTATCGTCTATTCCCGGCCACCATTCTCTATTAAGGTCTACGAAAGCCTCGTCATTCGTTCATACGTTGCTCCACGCGTCCTCCTTCGCTCACCACCACCATCCGCATAACATCTAATCTGTCGAGGCTGTGCCATCGACCACACTTGCATAACTTGCACATACAACATCGAGTCAACCATCTCTGGGATCTTTCTCGAATAATCAATCTGCCACTTTGACCTCACGTCGAAGTAGACCTTCCCTCAAGATCTGCACGAACAATTGAAGAACAAAATAACTTTTTTGTTTCATCCCTACACCGATTCATCGAACCTAAAGACCGAAACTCCATTGGAACTCTATCTCGACATATATCGAGCCTGATATTCCATCTCTCATCCAATTATTATTTCCAATATCAACATCTTCACAGCTCATCAGCAAATATGCGCACCACACGTTTCCACTCTCTGTCCTTCTCCAGCTTCAGATCATCACTCCGTCGCTCATCATCTGGCTCTAACGGCTCCATCATGTCGAGCAACAGAGACTCATATGCTTCCAACTCATCGTCACCAGTGAGCACTATCAATGCTATCATGCACAAGCAACCATCGATGCTATTCATGGAAGAAGAGAGACGGAGCTTCGGAACTGGCTTGGAGATTTTGGAGCCACGACCACTTGTCTACTGGGGTGGCTTGGAGGAGCGAATGGGCTCTCTATAGACATGTCTCCGACTAGTATTTGGATGATGGTGAGGTCCCAGTTGGTGAAAGGCATGGGACTTTTACCTCGAGTGTTGAGGGAAGACATTCTTAGATCGAGTTCGGGTTTCGACAGTTACTGGAAAGGAACGGCAGTATCGAGTCATTGGATCATGGCGTTTACGATTTTCACGGCTTGGGTTATACACATTAGGGATTTCATGGGCGTAAAAGGGATATGTATTTTCTGGGTCTTCATTCTTCTTTGGCGGATGATTGGATGGACAAGAGATAAAAGGGTTGGATCGGATCGGCTGAACCGGTGTATCATTTTGTATTTCTAACGGTTTTCTGGCCAGCAAATGAGCTAGAGTTTTGGATGTTTCTAATACACTCTTTCCAAAATAAAACAATCCTCCAATTAACCCACCTGAGATAATTTTTCAGTACAGCTATATATTTGTGGCTAGCACATTTTCGTCTTAATGGTCCCGCGAAAATCCGAATGACCAAGTCTTTTAACCCTTGCCCAATCCCACTCTCACCGATAATCGGACGATTTGAAGAGGTATCGCCAACGATATCAAGGAGTCAACGATCTTGTGCAGAACTTCATATCTAGTCATGTCCCATCATCCTTCGTCCCTCTCGAGCTCGCGCCCACAGACAATGGTTTCGGCCAATGATTCCGACCTCACCCCCACCATATCCACTCCCATGTCTGAGGACATCGACAACATCCCACTATCGCGAATGGTACAAGACACTTCATTTGAACATAATGGCATGGATAGATCTCAAGCTCATAACTTATACACATCCCATTTCCTTTCGACATGGAACGTGAGGACTTATGAGTTTGCGGCGGTGAGTTGGGACGAGATAATCCTGAGTGGTGGGAGGGGAACTGATGAGAAATAGATCATATTCACTGCGGCTGCGTATCCTGATACTCTTACTGCCGCTGCTATCCGGTATGTCTGAATAATTATGAAATCCGGGCTTTACATTATGGCTGCTTGTAATTCTACGCGGAACGCATGCAATTTCTAAGGTCACGTTTTTGACACTTCCCAGTGGCATCGTTCGAACCCTAGCATCGATATGCTTCTCCTCCATGGTAGGAAGATGGGTTGATCGGAACCCAAACCGGCTTAAGACACTCTTGAACACCATCTCTGTCAACCGAGCTGCTGTCATCGGTGCTTCCATCTTATGGTTCTTTATCGTTACTCCAAATCCTTCGCCTTCAATCATCACCATCTCCAGCAATGAAGTTCTCAACCCTTTAATCTTAAAAAGTTCAATATTTGCACTGATCATCTTACTTGGGATCTTCGAAGCTCTCAGTGCCTCCGGGAATATGCTGTCCATGGAGCGAGACTGGGTCGTCACAGCCGCAGCTCCGGATGGTCAAGCCTACGACCTGACTCATCTGAACTCGGTCATGAGGAGGATTGATCTCATCTGTAAACTCATTGCCCCAATCTTGATCTCAGTCATCATCTCAGCTACAAGCACGAGGACTGGAGTTCTAGTCGTGGGGTCTATGGGCGCCATAAGCTGGGCTGCAGAGATATTATGTGCACAGCGAGTCTGGAATCAGAATCCGTGTCTACAGGCCTTGAAAACCACAAATAGTGATGGATCTGTAGACACGCAGGTCTTGCACCCTGTAACGAATCTTGACAGAATCTCCCAAGGCCTGTGTCGTTATGCGCAGGACTTCAAAACTTACTTCTCATCTACGGTTTGGATACCATCTGTTGCCCTTGCACTGCTTCACCTCTCAGCTCTTGCATACAGCGCTACATTCATCACGTTTCTTCTGAGTACCGGATTCTCTTTGCAGCTGATCACTGTTGCTAGAGCGGCGGGAAGTCTGGTGGAGATCAGCAGCACGGTCGTCACTCCTGTTGGAGTACAATATTTGGGCAAAGCGAGGAACCATGGGCGGTTTAGAGGAAGAGATGTGCTTGGCGAGGGGGATAATGAGACTTTGTTGAGCTTGGATAGCATTACAGATAGAGGAGGGAGCACTGAGACGGGATTGGAAAGGTTAGGACTTTGGGGAATCTCGTGGCAGTTGTTGAATTTGGTATGCCCTTCTTCGCCGCTTTGCTCATAGTATTTGCTCCAGACACTGGCACTGATAAACTATTTAGGTACCCGTCGTATTCGCCCTCTGGTCTCTTTCTCCAGCCTCACAAGCTTATCCGGGTCCCAAAGATGGATCAGACGGCTCCAGCCTCCTCGCACGTATCGTCCCACGCACCTCACCCACCCTCATCGCATTCACACTCTGCACCTTCCTCTCACTCTCCCGCCTTGGTCTCTGGATCTACGACCTCACGACTCAACAACTAACACAAACACTCACCTCGACGACCTCCCGGTCATCTTTCACCGGTGTAGAGTACTCCTTCGTCTCTTTGTTCGAATTAGCGCAGAATTTAATAGCGATTGTCCTCAGTCGCCCGCAGGATTTCAAGTGGATTGCGCTGATTAGCTGGGTTGCTGTGGCGATCAGCACGTTGATGTATGCCACGTGGGTATGGAGAATGAGAGGGCATTTAGTGCATTGGGAGAGGTTGGGCAAGGGATGTGAGTGTGTTGTCAGGAGAGATCTTCATGGTTGGAGACTGGGAAGGTGGACTGTAGGGAGGGGATAATGTACAGATACCTACGATTGAGAGATATGCAAATTAAGTGAACCTTGTTCTTTAAATGTCAGCCTGTATCAATCACCTTACACCTTCGCTGACTCAACTCGCCCTTACCTCTATGCTGGTTGTCGGCTGCCTGAACAAGCATCTCGCTTAAAAATAATCACAACAAAAACCTCAACATAAGTTAACAACCAAAACCCAGAACGTCACAACTGCAAAACAAGCTGAACAATACCGAGCACACAAAAGGCCAGAAGGTTAAAAGAAGCAAAAGAAACCCAGGGGGGAAAGAAAAGCCCCGCTGTTCTAGGGGTTTTGCTTTTCAACCGATTGTCGTAATTTCGTTGATTCATCATTGCCCAATCGCCATCGAGCCACGCTATGATCCGTAAGAGCTCAGGGAACACAGTTTGCCCAGACCGCTCGACCATAGAGCGGCTGCCTGCTGCTATTCATGTTGGGATATTGATTATTTGTTTATAGGTTGATGACATCGCGAGGACGGGAAAGAGAGTAGCTTAGCGAGGAAGAACTTCTAGCACGACAACCTGGCAGCTTGGAAAGCGTGGTGATTACGTCAGGAAAGGCTGACAAGAGTTTTCAATTAATTAATATACAAAGCAAATGGCCCATTGAGCTAAGTTGTTAACATACACCTGCAAATATCAAGCCTTCCGAGTAGTTCTGCAGCAAACGCCCGCAGCGGTGTCATGCCTTGGGCGCCTGATATATTGAATGTACGTCACGATGAATCCAGAGGATATAGACCACTAAATACTAATCACTCATCGACGATGATTGCCCCCTTCTCAATTTTCGGCCGCATCGCTGACAACATTGAGTGGAAATTTTTCCTCCCAGCGTACATCGACGACGACATCCCCGAATCAGTCTCAGAGCTTTTCGTCCAACCATTTCTCATTTTCCTATCCTCCAGTGCGCCTGCATCTAGTTGTGCCAGTCAAGATCCCTTAGAGCTTGAACTCCAATATCTTCTCACCTCTGCTGTCGCCAGACGCCATGCACTCCCGGCGCGCTAGTATCTCAACGTCAGGAAGCCGCTTTGTGACAGGAGACTTGGGAGTGCAACATAGGAAGTGTTAAAAAAAACTGCTATATAGCAGGTTTGTTCAGTTCATTGGTCGACTGATGCAAGGAATAGGAGAACATATGGATTTGTCAAGGAGTTGTCCTCGAGAAAAACACTGTGTCTAGTATTTCATGTTGAAGCCGATCGGATCCAAACAGAACCTCGCAAACCAAGATCATGTCCAGATATTCAACTTCGAGGATGACAGTGGAGACATAAAGTGGCAGTTAAAGTCCTATCACCCTTGTGTGACTTTCGAGGGAGTCTTTGGTCGTGGTGGTGAAGTGTTGCTGTTTTTCGGTCTCGCTGGATTACATGTACTTGAATCTCAGCCAAGATCCCCCCCTGTTAAGGTAGGCGAGCCACAGGATAAGAAGCGACTGCATCTAGGACAACGACCTGTGTGTTGAATGCAGCGTGCGAAGGTTGAGAGAATTTTGATACATGTAGACGATAAAGTATGGGCGAGTGAAATGAGACGCCTTGAAGAACCAGATGGGACTGACTAAAGTTGATGAATAAATAACATATTCCTAATCTCCACTAACTCCACAATGAAACCATAGAAAGTCATTAAAATACAATAATCAGACAATTCAAAAGTAATCCTATTGCCAGCTTTCTCCTAACCAACCAGGATTCCTCCCTTCCTTCTGGTCTTCCTCGGCAACCTTGATCATCAACTCTCCAAATAACCCATTCGCCCATCCGAACCAAGCTCTGCTCCATATGCCCTCGTTAAATGTGTTGACGCTCTCGTGTATTACTAGAACCAATGTTAGCAACTTACGTGGCAAAAGTACTGATAATAGATATTCTGTGACGGTCTTGCAATTCGACCGTCGGAAAACTCGAAGAAATAAACGTACCCCCAGATCCATCTGTTGAATTCAATACCATTCTTATTTGCTGCTTGACTTCTTCTTCAATATCTTTCTTCGAGACTTTGTCAAGACTATTTGTCGCTGACGAACCGAGGGTAGAGAACGATGTGATTGCGCGAATTATGGCCGCCATAGGCCAAGCCTTTCCAGGACCGACATGCGGACCTCCAATAGCTGAGATGACTGGGCCCTTCATGAAATATGGGTTGCTATCGCTAAGAACAAAGCGTCTCGTATTGGCATAAATTTCCTCGTAATTCTTAGGCTGCTCGCCTTGTGGGAGTGGAGGAAGCTTGAAAGCGGATTCCGAGTAGTTCCAGAGAGGCATTGCCAGTAAAGAGGGGACATTTGCATCATCCATCAGATTCGAGCCCCCGAATCCGTCGATCTCATAAGCAAAGATGTCTCCGAAATCGCGGTGATGCACAATTGCGTCTTGGTCAATGCCTTTTCTGATGCCGAATGCGAAGTCACGCATCGCTGTGGTGAGGTTCTTGGCATCGTCTCCTGTCAGGTGCTCCATGATCATAGACCCGTCTTCTAGATACTTTGCCCACATCATGTTGGCTGGGACAAGTAACTGGTAGATACAAGCATCATCTGAAGGACGAAAAGCAGTTCTGACCATCCCATTTTCCTTGGTTGGATTTCCAAGCCCATCATTAGTGAGTGTTTCTGATCCTCTGTTGGTCCATCCAGTAAATGTCCATGCCGACGGTTCGACTTTCCCGTCTTTCGAGTAAGTGCCGAGTCTCATGGCGCCAGCGGCATTAAGTGCAGCTTTGACCGCAGGGATCCAGTTGTATTTCTGGAAAAACTCGATACTTTAAAAAGTTAGCAAGGTATCTGCACCACTGTGATCGAGAATGATCGATGTGACAGATGGGATAATGGAAAATATGATCTTAACTCACTCTTTGGTACGTTCAAAGTAAGCGACTGATATCTGAAGGAAAGAAGCTAGAGAATCCAGTTCCCACTTGCAATCGAACACCTTGACTGGGTCATAAGGGGGCATGGGATGATTCTGGGTATAAGCTCCATTGTGAGTAGGAGGAACACCAGACTCAGGTGGCGGCTGAAAACTATGACAGTACGGCGAAATGATAATGTATCGAGCATGAATGTTGATGAGGCCTCGCCACAGGCTTGCAAGCGAGTCTTTGTCATTCGACGCTTCAAGAAGAGGCAAGTACGAGAGGACTTGAGAAGCTGAATCTCGTAGCCACATAGCATCGATCTGGGTCAAGTCAGCTGGCTTGAAGCTTTGGAAGCACTATTCTCAGAGGGTCATTTCCATACATCACCAGTAATAACATAAGTTAGTTCCTCATCCGTCACATTCCCTTCCACACCATCCTCTCCAATATCCTTAGCATAGCCCCTCCACTTGATCATTGTATCAAGAGTATTTGGGTAGGTGTTCTCAAATAGCCTGAAGAGATCAGGATCTTTGATAACCCCTCTCATCTTCTCAATGAGCTGCTCCATTGCCGGTAGATTGAAAGTTCGACATTCAGGGGCCGGCCGAGAATAAGGAAATTGCCGTGAGCCCCCAGACCATGGCTTCTTGCGACTTCTTTGAAGACTTTCGTAACCCATACATTCCGCCGCTGGAGAATGCGTAGGCTTGGGACTCAGAACCGGACTTGCTGGTGTTGTTGGCTGAGCCAATTGTGGTTCTGGCAACGTCGTTTCAACCGTCTCATGTTGAGAAACTTGTGGGACGGCGACGGAAGTTATGAAAGACTCATCTGCATGTATAATGCTCGTTGGTATTGAGTTGGACGGGCTTTGCTTGGCGGGGATTTCCTTTTTGGAATCATATGTGAGAACATCTAGTTTGGTTTCCGACGTGTACCAGAGGTAGAAGAGGGCAATGGAGATGAAAAGAGCAACTCCCGCTACTCTCTGCTGTATACGCCTCATCCTTTCGAAACCATCCGGATCCAAGGCATGACTGGGCTCCTCTTTTGGAAGAATGTGATGAGGTGACAACGGCGGTTGAAAAGAGGCCAAATGGTGGAAAGTGGCTTACAGCCACAAGCAGTGTCTTGGCATTGTTCGACTTGAGGCAGTGGCCTGGACCTCGGCCGTTTCCTCTTGAGTCGCGTCACATCACAACAACACATTCCATCAGCGACAACAATCGTGGCCATGTTGAATGCTAGGCGGAATCGCCCATGCAACGCGCCCAGTAGAAGTATTGGTTGGCAGAGAACACCGTTTGGTCGTTTCAGGAGCTCGGAACCCAGTACGAATAAAGTTGTCAATGTCTCCAGGTAAAAGCGCGAGAATAAGTATTACGGCCAACCACCTTTAGTACCCCACTCTTCTTTCTATCTTATGTTGTGTAATCTTCCGTAGAATTCGTAAAAAATACTAGTCAGGTGACTAATTGTGGCCCGTGCAGGAATATCAAAATCGGTCCTTTGCTTATACCTTTATCTTTACCTACCTGTACCTACCTTTACCTATTAAAAATAGAGTGTATTCCTTGCCACCGCGTACCTTCAGCTATTAGGTTTAGCGGGAAAGACACTTGCTTTTTTTACCTTATTCGCTGCTTAACGTGTAAGTAATATCGATCTATAGACGCTTTTACTAGCTGAAAAACCTGTATCTCTTGCTATAATCGACTTCATGACACGTATTGAGTTAAAAAAGGAAAAGAGGTGTTAGATAAAAGGCGAGTTCGACAGCTTATATAAGTACAGCAAGTTATTAAGAAGGCAATTGTTGGTCCGCAGACCTATACTATGGAAGTGTAGGGAGCAATTAAGGGGGACAGGTAATCTTAGTTAAGGGAAGAACTACTTTCAGATACGAACTAGGGGTTATTTAGGAGGTAGTATATATTCTAACCCTTAGATACTCTTTATAATATACACTTTTAAATACCTTTAAACTAAACCTTAGATTTTAATATATATTAATATATATTTATTATTTATTTATTAGTATAATACTAATACTAATTAGTAGTTACTTTATACTATAGAATAAATAAGTTAAATATAATAAAGTTAACTCTTAAAATATAATACTAATTTAATATTAGTAAGCTTTTATTAAAACTAAGTAAAGTAAGCCTTATAAAGTAACTAAAGAACTCTTATTAAAATTAAGTAGAGTAAGTTTTATACTACTAAAGAGTAATAACTACTCTCTAATAGTTATTAAGATATTTCTAAAGCTATTTAGTTAGATATTTCCGAGATATAAAAAATATATCTAAAATACTTATAAATTACTTTTAATATAATAGTAATTCTAATAAACTAAGTTATAAAATAACTTAAAGTAGAAGTTAAAAGTAGTAGGACCTTAATATAAGATAGAACGCTAGTACTTAGAGTATTTTTAGTAAGTCTTATAAAAGCTGATATTAATAGTCTAGTTTAAGGATTTATAGATTATTCTATAAAGAAAAGTATCTATAAGAAGATATTATTTCAGGACTTTTAAGAGTATTTTCTTAATTAAATAATAGATGATTTTAAGAAAATAATAAGTAAGTAATAATAAGAGCTTTAAGATTATCTTTTAAGGAATTAGGTCTATATTTAATATTAAAAGGGATTATAAATTTCCTAAGCTCTTATAATAGTAATTTAAGTATAAGAGAATACTTAGCTAAATAGATAAGAAACTAAGCTACTACTAGATTTATTATTTAAACTCTTTTTAAATAATATTTAGAATTATAATCTAGAAGAGAATTAAGTATAATAAATACTTTACTAGAACTCGCTTAATATATTATCTTTATCTATAGAGATTATAGCTCTTAATAATATAGAAATAAAGTATTATAATAGCTAAGGGAGGATATAAATAAGTGATCTTTTAAAAGGCTAAGTTTTATTTTAGTATCTAAGCTCCTAAGGACCTTTATATATTAAATCTTTTATAGAAGATAAGGATCTTTATAAAGCCTCTCTCTCTATTAATATCAAGAGAGAGGAATTATTTCTAATAAGATTAGAGAGATAGTATATTAATTAGCTTCTAGTAGAGAGACTAAGGGATAATAGTTTACTAGATCTTACTTTAGCTCTTATAATATACCTAAAGGATAGAATATTACTTCCTTTTTAAGTACTTAGCTAAAATAGTTTATATTTAAAGCTTATTTAGCTAAGTTAGTATATTATAAAACTAATCTCTCTAGAATAAGTAAAATCACTTATAAGCCTTAGTAAGATATATACTAAGGAGTTTTAATATAGTAAAGCTAGAGATTATCTTAATAAGAAGCTTTATATCTTTACTAATTTTTATTAATAAGTATTAGTAAAGTTTATATTATAGTATAAGGTATTTCTATTTATACTCCAGGATAAAGCCTTATTATATTACTACTAGTACCTCTAGAATAAGGAGTACTTATTTAATAAGCTAGTATAAGCTACTTGTAATAACTATAAGATAAAGAAGAGAGCTAATTAATACTTAAGTTAATAGTTTAGTATAACTTTTTCTATATTTTAAAATAAGCTACTTTAGAAAAGTAAATTAGCTCTAATATAATTAGAAAGCTTTATAAGAGAGCTATAAAATATCTAATTAGATCTTAAGGATAATAATATATAGAATAATAAATATTATATAATAAGTTAATATAAGGAGTTTTAAGGAATCTCTTATTTAAAATAGCTTTATTTAAGCTACTTTTAATATTTCTTATATTAATAGATAGCCTTTATATGACTATAAGTGTAGAGATTATATAAGATTCCGGATCTAGATCTAAGAGATACTCCGGAAATAATCTAAATAAGTCTTAAGTATATATTATAAATAATAATACTTACTACTTAGACTAAAAGATAAAATTCTCTCTAGGAAATAAATATAAAGATAGATTTAAAGCTTTTTTAAGTTATATAAGTTATATTATCTATAAGAAGATAGATTACTATAATAGCTATTACTTTAACTAAGAACATTAGCAAAAAAATCTAGCTCCAGGCAGCCGCCGGCTAGCTGCTAAAGGCGCTATTTTCGCTATTCTAGCCTAAGTTATATATCGATTAATTTAATAGCTAGCGACCCCTAAAGCAGTATATACTAATTTAAATTAATAACGTAGGCGCCTAAGGCGACTAAGGTGCTATAGGTGCTTATAAGCCTAATTAGGACTAGCGTATAAAATAAAGTTAAGTCTGATTTTTTATATTATATAAGGTATATTAATAAGCTTACTAAAAGCTTTAATACTACTAAGAATACTAAGGATATTAAAGGTACTTATAAAGGTATACCTTATAAGGGGGTATTATTAGGCTTATATCGCCTGATTAGGCAAGGCGGCGACTTACCCCTGCATAGAATTTACCTGAATCGAATTATAAGCACGCTAGCGATTTTTTAGCGTGGATATTTATAGCGTTAAAGGCTTAGCGAGACTAGTTTTAAGAATATATATAGAAAGTGCAGGTCTTTTTAAATTCTTAGTTAAAATCCATGCTAGTCTAACTGTTTTTAGTTAGTTTAAAATCTAAAAATAAACTTAACTTTTAATTTTTAATTCTAATTAAAAATATTATATCTTTCCTAATTAAGTCTAGCTTATATATAAAAGTGGGTCTTATAAAAGGCGCCTAGGGCGTATAAGGCGGCCTTTTATTATTTAAAGCTGACGTATAATAGCCTCTTATATTTTAAGGCGTCTTAAGCGTAAAAAGCGACTATTCGGCGAAAACAGCGAAAATAGTAAGTAGTACGTATACCCGGCGCCAGAATTTTTTACTAATATATACTATTCTTACCAAAGCTACTAACTTTAGTAGCTTCTTCCTTTCTTGAAGGAAGAGAAGATAAAAGAGTTAGATTAAGTACTAAAGTACTATTACTACTTATTACGGATCGCTTAGGAGCCTAGCGCTCCTAGAAGGATTCCCCTAAGTGCCTAAGAGCTCTTAGGTAGGAGGGGCTAGGAGGCTATAAGCTTAAGGAGATACTTACTTCTAAAAGAAATCTTCTAAGAAGTAAGAGCTCTTAAGAGAACTTCTTTCTTAGGATTTTATAGTACTATAGTAGTTATATATATTATATAATCTAAGTATTATAAGTAAAAGCGTTAGTTCTAGTAACTTAATATTATATAATAGATTTCTAGATCCTTAGATCTTATAATAAAAGAAGAGATCTAAAGATCTATAAATCTAATATCTAAGGGATTATCAGGGGCTCTTGCTATTTCGGGTAGGCTGCAGCCCTTAAAGGCTACACGCTTTCCAAGCTCTATAGCTTTCCTTAAGTTTTAGTTAATATAATATTACCTCTTTTACTCCTTATATTCTTAGGTACCCTATAATATTCTGAAACTTCCTTTAAGCGGTATAGTAAAGAGAATAATAAAATAGAAAGACCTACTTAAAGCTCCTCTACTAAGATACTGCGGTACTACTACAGCTAGACCTTAATTAGGTACCTCTTAATACTCTAACACTACCTACTAATACGATTAATAAGAAAAGCGATACTCTTTAGGGAAAGGATTAATTTAGCTATAGCTAAGCGACTATCTTAATTATAGAAGCGAGAAATTAAGATTTCCTTGCTTAGTGAATTATTAATAAACGCTCTAGAGCTTAGTATAACTATTGGTCCGCAGACTTATGCTATAGAAATATAGGGGGGAGTCAGGGGGTATAAGTAATCCCGGTTAAGGGATAGACTCTTTTTAGATATAAACTAGGAGCTGTTTAGGAGGTAGTATATATTCTAACTTGTAGATACTCTTTATAATATATACTTTTAAACACTTTTAAACTGAACCTTAGATTTTAATATATATTAATATATACTTATTATTTGTTTACTAGTATAATACTAACACTAATTAGTAGTTACCTTATACTATAGAATAGATAGATTAAATATAATAGAGTTAACTCTTAGGATATAATACTAAATTAATATTAGCGGGCTCTTATTAAAACTAAGTAGAGTAAGCCTTATAAAGCAACTAGAGAACTCTTATTGAAATTAAGTAGAGTAAGTTCTATACTATTAAAGAATAATAGCTACTCTCTAATAGTTATTAAGATATTTCCGGAGCTATTTAGTTAGATATTTCTAGGATATAAAAGATATACTTAAAACACTTATAAATCGCTTCTAGTATAATAGTGACTCTAATAGACTAAGTTATAAAATAACTTAAAGTAGAAGTTAGAAGTAGCGGAACCTTAATATAAGACGGAACGCTAGTTCCTGGAGTACTTTTAGCTAGTTTTATAGGAGCTAAGATTAACAGTCTAGTTTAAGGATTTATAGATTATTTTATAAGAAAAGGTATTAAGAGAGAGATATTATTCTAAGACTTTTAAGAATACTTTCTAGATTAGATAATAGATAACTTTAAGAAGATAACAAGCGAGTAATAATAAGAGCTCTAAGACTATCTCTTAAGGAATTAGGTCTATATTTAATATTAAAAAGGATTATAGATTTCCTAAGCTCTTATAGTAGTAGTTTAAGCGTAAGAGAATACTTAGCTAGATAGATAGGAAACTAAACTACTATTAGACTTATTATTCGGCTCCTTTTTAGATAAGATTCGGACTTATAATTAAAGAGGGAACTAAGTATTATAAATACTTTATTAGAACTCGCTTAATATATTATCTCTATCTATAGAGATTATAGCCCCTAATAATATAGAGATAAGGTATTAAGATAGCTAAGGGAGGATATAGATAAGTGATCCCCTAAGGGGATAGGTTTTATTTTAGTATATAGACTCCTAAGGACTTTTATATATTAAACCTTTTATAAAAAGCGAAGATATCTATAGAGCTTTTCCCTCTATTAATATTAAGAGAGAGGAATTATTTCTGA